TGAAGCTCACAGTGACAGAAGTCACATTCTTTCCTCTACTTCATCTCCACATCTTCAAAAAATAGATGATCACTTCCCTCTCCCCACTCATCTTCACATTCTGATCTTCTGTCCACGTTAACGCTTCATGTGTTGCACGTCTGTCGCTGGATCTTAACCCATCTATTTATAATTCCTAAATAAATCCAAAGCAGTGGAAATAGGAGCTAAATGTTTACACATATTTATACATTTATAGTGTTACAATACAGACAGGAAAATTCATGGGCTCATCGTTGTATTAAGGTCACTTAATTAGCGTTAGACGCCCGTGGATGTGCGTATTATATTTCCAATCAGTACATCAAATAGTTCTTGAGATATGTGACGCTAAAAAACAGAGCAGTTCATCCAGCGGCGTCCACGACCGTTTGGATGAAGTGTCGCTGCCCCTAAATGCTGCTAAAAGGGTGACACAAAGCGTCAATGTTAATGCATGTGCCTACATGTGCAACGTGATCTCCAAAACCTGTTCGTAAAAATGTATACGAAAATCTTGAACATACAAATTCGTAGCAATACATAGGAACTGGCGGTGGTTAACCACGCCGCTTGAGTGAACAACATGGGGGACCATGTCGGAGTCGGATGAGTGAACGTCTCTCCGCCATGTTGGATTTTTTGAGGGGGTTAGGGTTAGTATTCTATTCTTACAATTTAACATTGATTACTCGTTAAAAATGCAATCATAACACGTTTATTTTACATCGTTAGACTTCACAAAGTGTGTTTACGGGGCGCAGGTCCCCGTTCACTTTCAATAGGGTGACGTCATCAGTTGCAGTCCGTATTTATTTCGTATGTATCACTACGAATTTGTATGTTCAAGATTTTCGCATGCATTTTTACGAGCAGGTTTTGGAGATCAGGCTGACATGAGACCATTGAAATAAAGACAGAGTTTAGTTTAGAGGAGGGGGGAGGAGGGGGGCGGCCGACCATCAGGCCGACATTGCCATCCATAGATGGTGCGAGCATGGCTAATGACACATTGTTGAGCTGAAACTTTTTTTTCCACGAGGCCTGGTGGTCATTACAGTTGTCGGGCCGATCCATGAGAGAGGTGACATGGAAAATGTAGTGACTGGAGCCCTTAATCCCACTTAAGCCTCGATATTAGCTGTCTGGCTTGAACGAATAAAGTTTGTTCGTGTCAGCTGTGTGCGGTACACAGAAAGTGGATGCTCGTCATCGACGCTGAATCGACTTCTTCGGGCTCCAACTGTATCGGCTGCCGACTCCGAGCCATCAGCTAAAGCCAGAACCTCACATTAAACCGGCGTGTGATATCCGATCGAGGCTACCGGTTTTCAACCAAGGCCAAGCGAGGGGCGGGAGGACGGAGGGGAGGGTCCTCGGGGGGACGCTGGGCGGCGTGTGAAGCGGTGGCCTGCGTGCCGTCGACCAGCCGCCCTGAGGGGGAGGCACATGGTGCCAACAGCTGCCGTGGTGAAATGCTAACCCTTCTAAATGCTCCGGCCAGTAAACAACGCCGGGCCCAACACATGCCAACGGGGGGAGCCCGGGTGAGGGCGGGGTGAAAAGGGGGGGGGACGGGGCGACCCAGCTGACGGCGTGGAGAAAGGAGAATTGACCCCTGTGAAACGGCTTATTAAAGTGCGGTGGTCACCGCAGGATACGACAGCGAGGGAAACTCAAAACCCTCTTTGGCAGACTGAGCAGCGCGCCGGCAGCAGATTCAGGAGATACCTTCATTAGATGTACTTACACAGACACTTATTTTACTATCTAACTTGATAAATGAAGTTGCCCTGTGAGAAGCCTGTTGCAGCCATTGGAGCCGCCAAAGGTTCCCATGCCCCGAGCCCCACTGGGGAGTGGCAGGAGCAGATGTGACGTCTCCCCTCGCTTGTAAAACAATCCATTTTCCACTTGTAAAAACATTATTCTGCACCTCTCCGCCACTCTCCCTTTAATCAACATAAAAACAAAAAAAACGATCCCCAATTTTGGAAAGCAATAATTGCATCCAGTCCCAATTGATGGTTAAATGCGATACAGGACCGTTGGAGTAATCTAATAATTGCCTTTCAATCCGTCATTTAATTTTGCACTAACTAGTCACTTTTCCTCGTACTGTCAATGATGCACACACACACACACACACACACACACACGGACGTACAAAAAAGGAACCCGCTGGACAAAAAAAAGAAAAATTAAATCTCAAACTTCTTTCTCTTCAAATTTCATTAATTTAATGGCTCATATTGAAAGGCAAAAATCTATTCTGAATGAGTAGATTTACAACGTGAAATGTTATCCCACCTGCACTTGTGTCAATTGTTAAGTGAGCTGCTACGAGGGTAATAAATCACCGGGGCAATTACGCCCCCACCTGGTTGAGAGCAAAATCCTGAAGGCCCGGAAGGCCTTTAAATGCTTTCTATTGGATCCCAGATAATCACAGCCTCCTTTACGTGGAACAGCATAATAATGATAATCTCACTAATGACTTGATTTAGGCGGGCCAGTAACTTACATGCTGTGGGCCGTTGGCTTCCTTACATGTTATGGGTGACAGCTGTGCAATACGTGCCACCAAAAGGCCAGAACTCCAGAAACATTGTTCTTCATTGACTTGAAATGCCTCAAATTATATTTGTTATTGAAAAATACTAAAAATCAGAAAATGGGAGCTTCACTTGCTTATGGTATTACAAATAACTAGAACCAAATGGGTGAATTTATTTATTTTTCTATTTAAAAAGGAAAATGTTAAAAACGTACATTTTTGAAATAATGCAAAAATATGAATAATTCCAGCTGTTTAAAAGTCAAAACTCACATCGCCAGCAACCGAAGAACAGAAGTTTAATCTAAATGAAAATGCAATAAGTGTTTCATAATTAACAATATATTTTAAGCCAGTCAGCGAAACTTCCTCTTTGTTCTACTTCCTTCTGAAAGACGATGACGATCACGCAGCAGCATTTCTTATCGCAGTCACTTGAACGCTGATTTATTACGAAGGGTTCCGGGAGATTGTCAGATTTTGGACGACCGTCTCTCTAATCTTTGCATCCCGAAGCTTAAAACCAGGCCCACACTTGCCCATACAATCTTTTCTATCACTCTATTAACCACACGGTGTGTGTCTGTGTGTGTGTGTGAGATAAAGACACAGGAAATGGCATCTGATATGTTGTTCCCTTCTCCTCATCCTCTATCTCAGTCATCACACACCTGCAGAAGGTGACGGCTGAATACAAGCATACGTGACCCAGCCAGGATGAACTCACTCCGGGGGCATTGTTTAGGGCCCCCCGGTGTCGTTAACATTAACAAACATTCGGCGGCTTATCGGGGGGGAGTTTAGACAGCGGTTTACCCAAACATGAGCCACTCTCCTGGCTTTCCTGTAAACACAACCTCAAAAGACAGAGCGGGCAAAGTCTCTGTCGAAGACATTTTATGCATTTCATAAGAAATATGTAAACAATTAATAGACATTTCTAACACACTCAATTGTAGTTGGAAACAAATAAGGACTTGTACATTATAATATGCTGTCTAAAATGATGTAACGTGAACTAAATGAATTTAGCTGGAGATGACTCAAGGCGCTCGTCCTTCACCGAGAGGACCAGGCAGGAGGTTTTAGGTGTTAACACGAGGGTCTGTTCCAACCTGCCCCTCTCTAGAAAAGGTCTGGTGGGAGGGGAGGTTTCGGTTGACAAGTCTGAGCGAAAGTGGAGGTAAAGAGGGTGTGTGAACAAGGCATACATGTTTGCGTGCGCGGTGGGCCTGAACTCTGCACTGAGAGTGCTTAGTTTCTCTCACGTGTGCTACTTGACTACAAGTTTCGAGAGCTGCTTCTGCATTTCCGTTAAAACAGGGTAAACAGAGACTACGTCTCGTGAGGTTTGCTGATGATGAAGGATCGGTCAGGTGGATGCATGGAATGTTAAGATAATGTATAACTATTGTTAGGGGGGAAAACATTTTCATTAGCACTGAATTAGTTTTTCGAAAGTTTGAGAATTACTGGTCTTCTTGGATACATGCCTCAAAAATAATTAATTTTTCATTTAGTTAGTTATTATAATGTGTTATCAATCACAGATAAAAAAAAAACATTTTCAATTTAACATTTAGTCATACTCTTAATAAAATTTCATTTTGCAATAAGTATCTGAAAAGTATTATTATTATTAGGATTTTATTATTTAAATACACTACCAGTAAATAATTTAGGCTTGTTGCATGGCACTTAACAACAATAAATCAAAAAAAAAAAAAAAAAAAATATATATATATATATATATATATATATATGGCCACCTTTCATTGTGTTTAATACTTATCAGATCAGAGTGCACCTCCCAGTGGACGCATCTCCACATCACCTGCAGCCTTCAAATATCACTTTTTCCTGTCTTTCACTTTTGGCTGATCTTTGGTACTATGAGATGTTGCATAAGTAGCATATTATGAGAATTTGTATCTATATCTATATATATCTATGTATGTATATATAGATCTCTCAAATTTAGGGAAACTGAATTATTGGATTTTCATGTATGCTTGATACATTTGCACTGGAGTAAGTTAATGTAGTTAACATAGCATTTGACTACATTTATGTGTAATTTATCTGTGTTCAAAGCTATCAGCCCCTTTGGTAACATCCAAAGCCACCTGGCATGGATAACACTTCAATGTCCACTTGAGAACAGCTCGGATATGGTTTGATGTTTAAACTTTGACTGGACCACTTACAAGTGATGAAAAAAATCTATAGTGCATTTTGTTTTAAAAAACTCTTTTTATAGTTTCATACTCTTTTCAAAAGTATTTGGCAAGAGTCACGACGTTAGATAGAAACATGTCCCATAGGGCCTGAGGATCCCTGGTTGGTGTCCCGATACACGGACCATAATCAGTTAAAAACAGAAATTCTACCTTTAACACGCCCCTCCCCGTGATGACGTACCCGGTGTTTGGCCCGTGACGTCGCATGTACACGTAGCCTAGTAGGATGTGCTCAGATGGTGGCGGTGGCGGTGTGTCAGACTCACTGTCCTGCACATTTGTAAACATTTTATGGTTTTTGGACGTTTCGGACGTCGGGTAAGTGTACATTCGTGCAATTGTTGACAATGCCTCGCTCCGAACGTCTCGACCTGGTGTACGAAACGGGCATGAAACTGTTACCCTTGTAGTTAGCATCGGCTAGATAGCAAGCAATGCTAAATTAGCACGGATGCTAAGGCTAGCTGACCAGGCAGTGGACCTGTTTAAATTGTGCATGGGATCTTTAGCTCTTCGGCATGTGTCTCTCTGTGTTAAATGTGTACTCAAGAATAAGACTTTCGTTTTGGGGGCATTCTTTAGGCGACAGGCGACTTTAGGTTGCTTTGTTTTGATGGTTACGGCGTTCAGGACGTGTAGCGTACCAGTTAGCGTTGAGCCGGGCACCCAGGACCTTTCCTCGTAGGCTGCTTACTGCGTAACGTTAATGTGATTTCGAGTCAAAACAAGAAGTCCAACAAGTGCGCATTAGTGCTGAGAAGTCGATCGGGGATCTCGGTAGCTGACCCTAACTTTGTTTTGTTTCGGGATGACTGACCGGCGAGTCGGTTCGTCGGCGGCGTTAACGTTAGTTTGCGGGTTTATAACGGTTGTTGATGAATTCATAATCTGGATGGTTTGACATTTGCGGAATCCTTTTTGTGGAGCTAATCTGTCAACTAACGCTAATGGCTCCCCGTTATGGATCCCCCTTCCTCTCGTTCTGAATGCTCAATGTCAGTCCATGCTAGCTCCCCTCAGGTTTCCCACTGACAGATTTACGCTGTGTGGTCCTGATTTGGTCATCTCAATCAGTTTAGTCAATCTTATGTTTTGCATTCACGGCGTCATTATTAAAATGGCTTATCAGCATAAGTGATAAAGCTGCGCAGAAGCACCGGTTAGCGGCAGGACTTTACTTTTATTCGTTAACCGTTAGCTAGCAAGCTAGCTGCATCAGCCTGTTGAGTGCGTGCAATGCTAACATCAGCTCTGCTTTCCTTTTATAAAATAGCTCATCCTTTTCAAACCCTAGTGAATACATAAGTGAATACAATGCTGCAATGCTATTTGTCAGTTGTTCGTAAAAGCCAGTATATTCACAGAAAATAGCATTCCTTGTTTCAGTGATATTCAACATAGTTGTTTTGTTTTTCCCCTAATAATTAATACTATATTTTCTTATAATGGATATTCTTGGTTCTTCTACGGTTTTATGCATTTCCCCAACGGAATAGAACAAGCGTTAACATTAGTTTTTTGTGTTTGAGTAAAACAAAGTAAAACCATATAACTTGCTCATGTCATCAATGTTGCCATTCATTACAATGAGTACTTTGTGTTTTACTCAATAAACAACTGTTATTAACTGTATTATTCGTAACCTCTCATAGCGGATGTGTAAATTGCCACGTTGTAGCTCAATAAAGACCCACACTACTACACAAACAGAGGTGTGGTTATAATCCATCAGGTAGGCCAGCGTAGCTTTATGTTAACTCCTCCTTCTTTCCTCTTCATTACACAGCTTCGCCTGACTTCAGTCTCTTCAGTAACATCTACTAGAGCGACCTGGTCCTCGGACCTGTAAGCTCTGCAGCCATGCAGCGTCCTCCTGCGACCGGACCTCCAGGAGCCTCGGGCCCACCTCCGCCCGGGCCCGATATGTACCGCAGGACCAGGCCTCACAAGCATGCGACGGCAGCAGCAGCCACTGCACAACCCATCACAAACCCTTTTGCTTTTGTTAGAGCGCCTCCCCCTATGGCTGCAGGTCCGTCTTTGGCTGCAGGTCCGTCTTTGGCTGCAGGTGGTCTCCCAACAGTACCCAACAGCAATCCCCCACCAATGCAAGCCCCACCTAACACCATGTACTCTCAGGCCAGCTCAGGGCTGCCTCCACAACTGCAGACGCGGGGGGATGTCCCAGCTCCTCATTCTGGTCCGCCACCCTCCTCTCTACCAGGGGTGACGCTGTTCAACCCTCACAGTGCAGCATCCCCCGGTGTCTACCCAGCACCCAGTCCTGTAGGATATGCATCGTCGCATACTGAACAGGGTTATTTTAATTCAACAGAACAGACGCCATCTATGACCACAGAGCCGCCGTCTTTGGCCCCAGTACCGGGCCAGACCCCTTTCAACCAGGAATTTCAACGACAGCCTGCTCCTCAGCCCATGATGTTCCAGCCCGTTCCCCCCACCACCTCCTATTCTCAGTGGCCCCCTGATCATGGAAGTCGCCCTCCGTCTGTTCAGAATTATTTCCAGCCTACTAGTGACCCTCCGCCACAGGCTTTCAATTTACCCCCACAGACCCAGATGTACCCCTCCCACACCCCATCGCCCCATCACAACACCCCCACCCCTCCAACACACGCCGGACGTCCCCAGGTTCAAGCTCCTCTTCCTCCCCAAAACCCTGTAAATCCCCCAAGTTCACAGTGGCCCGACCCAAATGCACCTCAGCAGCATAATTCCCACTTCCAAAATCCAAGCTATTTCAGTCAGACATCTGCCCCCCAGGACTCATGGTTCAATACACCTCCACTGGACTCAGGCTACCACCAAATGGGGACCGGCCCAGCGCATGCTCACCCCCGGCCTTACTCTGTTGGATCGCAACAAGCGTCCAACACTGGGCCTGGACCTAGTTCTGCCCCTGCCCCAGTCCAAGTCCCGTACTCTCAGGAGTCTGGTTCACTCTCAATGTTCTTCAAAGACAATGATGTGGAAAACGAGGAAACACTGGCCGGAGACCGAAACAAGGCAGTCAACGGTCTCCCGGGATCCTTTCAGCCTCAGAGCAACCCACAAGCCCATAGTGGCCAAGCAGATGTTCCTTTGGATTATCAAGGACCTCCTCCAGCAGATAATTCCCACCTACCGTACATGAGTGATGGCAACCCTCAGGCAAGCACCCATATGTCTCCTGATCCCCATTACGACCATGTGGAGAATTTGGAGTGTGTGCCGAACCAGGAAGTATTACCCAGTGATATCCATGGCATCCCTGCTGCTGCTGGTGCTGCTCCTGGTGCAGCGCATGTCGACCAGTATGAAACCGGCCCTAACCTGGAGACTCCTGATTCCATCCAAAGACCGATTAGATCTGCCAGCGTGTCCTCCAACTATAGCAATATGAGCCATGGAAGTGGAAGCGGCACCCGAAGACAGCAGGGAGTAGTCGGTACCTTTATTCAGCAGGAAAGCCTGCGTCTCACCGATGATGCCAACCTCTCTGCTGCCACTGGAGGCTACTTTGAGCAGATCGACACTTCTCCAGCTGTTGATGTGGGCGTGCCACACAGCTCCCTGGAGCAGATGTGGCCCACCACACCTAGCCCCCCCAAACCAACTGGTATCTTTCAGGCCAGTGCAAACAGCTCCTTTGAACCTGTACGCTCCCATGGGGTTGGGGTGCGTCCGGCCGAAGTTGATACGGCCAACGTGGTCGCAGAAATGGGTGCCGATGCTATCCCCGGCAATCTGGAGCAGCCGCCGGATAACATGGAAAATATTTATGGCTCAGCAGGGGGTGTTCCTAATCTGCCACACCCAGTGGTTCACTCTCTCTCTCGACCTTCATCCCGTGCTTTTGGGGGCAGTCGGCCCTGCGAGAGCCCCGCCACGACCCTGTGGGCTCAGCATGATCCCGGCAGCCTGGCCGCCAGCATCGTCCTGGCCCCCGCAGCCCCAACAGTACTCGCCCCTTTACGGGAGCCCAGTACCGATGTCATCCAACCTCCAGAGGATGGCCCGCTGGACCTGCAACCCTCTCAGAGAATCCAGCCATCTTCACAGCAGCACTCGGAGAACCTAGAGAACCCACCAGAGGTGAGTGAGGCAGAGCCGACCGACCCTCAAGGCATCCTGGGCTACGCTTCTCTCCTTGTGTCCGACTCGCTCGATCAGCCGGTATTGATTGCCCCGCCGGTGTCCAATTACAGTGTGATCTCCCCCAGTACCCCTGCTCAAGCATCCAGTCAAAGTAGCCCAAGGGAAACAACCCCCCCTGTAAGAATTGTCCCACAGGAACAACCTCCAATGACCTCCAATCACAATCCATTGTTTGCCCCTGGATTTATGAGCTTCAATTCTTCTGCATCTAACCAGAGTCCGCTCAATCTGACTCGAGACAACACACAAGCAGCAACACAAGACAACACAACTCCGCCGGTCCGCCCTCCTCTCTCAAGGGGCCAATCGCTGGCTGGAGACGGCCCCTCTTCTCCCCAAGTTAATCCACAGGCTTCTCCCGCAACTGCTCCTGTCTCTAATCATAATCAGCCGTCAAATTATGAACTGCTTGATTTTTCTATGCACCAATCACAAGCCCAGAACCCAACGTCTGGCCATCCTTTGTCTCTACACGAGTCACCGCAGTCTAGTAATGGATTTTACCTACAGGTCACCAAAGATGCTCAGCAGGGGGTAAGAGCACAAGGGAATGTCCCTGTCCAGATGCCGGCCTCTTCATCTACCCCACAGGTACCACCAGCACCCTCCCAAGCAGCTGCAAACAGCCAACCCCCACCGGCCGAACATCCCAGGACATCCGACCCTCGGGCGGCGCCGCAGGGACAGAATGATGCTCCTCCTGTTTCAGGGAGTGGAGGACAACCCTCTAGGGACCAGTATCCACCTCCAGCACAGGGGCCTCCCACAGGGAGGGCTCCCCCATCCGCTGTTGCTGCTGCTGCTGCATACCCCCCATGGCCTGCAGGACCAGTACCTCCAGGAGCTTCCCACCCAGCTGCCGCAGAACCACCTCGACCGCCTTCCTCTGCAGGCAGCCAGCAAGGCTATGGACCCCCTCCTCCAGTGCCAGGGCAGATGTATGGTGGCTATTATGGTAATTATGGAGAATACCCGGATAGCAGGGCACCATATCCACCTGGCCAGTACCCACCTCCGCCTGGCCAGTACCCACCTCCGCCTGGCCCGTATCCACCTCCGCCTGGGGATCCTAGAGCACAGCAATATTATCAAGTATGTGAAAAGTTATTTTAATTTTCTCTTTTCATAAATGGATTCATATGCCTCTTTTTTAAATAAACATTTGAAAAAGATTCTCAATAACACCATGGATCCTTCCATGGCTGGTAAGAAATGAATCCCAAAATCCCTCACCGCCCTTGTCTTCTAGGAGGGTCCATACAGGGGCAGAGTAGATCCTTGGTACGGCCGATATGAGGGGCAGATCCCACAGGCTCGCGATCCAAACTACCAGTACAGAGAGCCCCAGCCTGAGCGCCCCAGCTCCAGAGCCAGTCAGTACTCTGACAGGCCCTCATCCAGGTCTGTGAACGCAGCGCCATCCTTTATGTGGCATGACGTTTTATGTGATCATACATACATACATACTGTACATATTTGTGTCGAATACTTAAGTTCACGTGGTCATTTTACTTGTAAAGCTCACCTTTTTCTTGCTTGGTCCCAAAGGCAAGGATATCCTGAAGATTACCAGAGAGCCAACCCAAGTGCCTACAGTGAATATTATGCAGATTACGCCAAACACTATGAATACGGAGGTATGAGCCGCGGGGTTGAAAGCTGTGATTACTCACTAGCATGAATACGTTAAACAAGTAGTTCACTAAACACATTCATCTTGCGTCCGTATAATACATATTTTTTGTATAATCTTCTCTATATTTTCTCTGTGAAGGCTACAACTACGGACAGTATGACCCCCGGTACAGAGAATACTATGATCCCGCCTACTGGGCGAATTATGGTGACAGCTACAAAGCCAGAGACAATTTGTACAATCAACAGGCTTATCCTGCCAGGTATGCAGAGAAACCCATTCATGTACAAGGAAATTGTGTGTGGAGTCTGTCGACTTTTGTTTGTTATTGAACGGGAGTTCGAGGTTATCCAGGTCTCCAGGTATCCAGGTCTCTGGATAAACGAACACGGTTCACTCTGCTCACAGGAAAGAGGGCTACGAGGATCAGTGGCAGTACTACCCCGGCTATGATGCCAGCTTCGATGATGACTACCGGCGACGCAGAGAGCCGTACGCCGATGACTTTGACCGGCGCAGCGTCCACAGCGAGCAGTCGGCGCACAGTGTGCACAGCTCTCAGAGCCACCACAGCAGGCGGAGCAGCTTCAGCTCGCGATCACAACAGGTGAATGTGCAGATGCCTCTTGGATGCTTTTCTGTGGTTTACCTGTTGTTATTTGATCTGCACTATTGTGACCTGCATTTACGTTCTCAGCCTCACCCCGATAACTTTATTAATGCTGGTTGTTTAAACGTATTTTCCTATTTGATTAACTTTATTTTTTATACACACCCTGCAGAGCCAGGTGTACACAAGCCAGCCTGACTTGGTGTCAGCAGTCTATGACACCACATCATCCACGCTGGCTGTGGACTACTCCTATGCACAGTACCCCAACCAGCCTGATGCCACCCAGAACTACAGCCAGTACCTGTATCCCTCAGAGTACACGGCAGACAGCACCTGGATCGCCCCCGATCAGCGTATGTACACAACTCGTAGACTCCAGAAGTTGGCGTTTATTGAACGGCAATGGCTTTAAAATGATTTTTTCATTCGACTGATGTTTTGCGTCTAGCTCCTCCACGTCCTGCAACTCCAGAGAAGTTCACGATGCCCCACCGTTGTGCCCGCTTTGGACCTGGGGGTCATCTGGTTCAAGTTCTGCCCAACCTCCCCTCAGCTGGACAGCCTGCTCTCGTTGATATCCACAATTTGGAGGTGCATTTTGAACATTTGTATCATGAAGAGCTAGCAGCAGCATGATGGGACTCGAACGGAGTTTGTTAATGTTGTTGTTGCACTATTTTGACAACTCTTTTTTTTAAAGGGAGCCGGGTAATTGAAACTCATTAAATGTGGCCCCCTAACTGCTTCTTCAGGCTTTTGATCATATGTCACGTGTGTAAAAGAACATGCATATAACCGCTTCACAAAGTTATGGCTGTGTAAAGTAATATTTGGATCTGTTTTCGCAGACCATCCTGCAAGATACCCCGGATCAGGCTGAGCTCCGATCTTTCCCTGGACCGCTTGTTAAGTGAGTACATTCTGCACGTTTTTCCATCTCTTTAATATCTTTCAGCCATTAACCTTTTAAAGGACAGTGGTGGTCATTAAAATACCAAAACCATCGATGCATTAGTCTGAATTCCTTCACCTGGTGCCCCACTGCTTCCTACATAAAGTGAGAATCTTAAAAACCAAGTAAAGTGTTTGTTGGGAATTGGCAACAAAGACAATCACTTTCAAAAGATGTTTTGATGATAAGAAGAGCAAAGTCGTCCCTTACTTTCCCAGCACTGCATATTTAGCTGTAAACTACCTACCTATATACCAAACCTCTTGATATCCGTATGAGTGAAAGGCAGCACTGGTTCGACGAGCCACTGCGAGTGTCTCACATCTTCCTGTCACGTCCTTCAGGGAGGAGACCCACAAGGTGGACGTGATCAAGTTCTCCCAGAACAAAGCGCTGGAGTGTTCCCGTGACAACAACCTCTTGGACAGGGACTCTGCCCGCCTGCTCTGGGAATTCATCGTGCTGCTCTGCAGGCAGAACGGGGTCAGACTGTGGCACTTTGTCAAAGTAGGACTGTGTCTTTTGCATATCTCCCTGGAACCACTTTCTCACCGCCGCGCTCTCGTTTCTTAAGACCGTGGTCGGCACGGACATCGCCGACCTGCTGCTCAAGGAGCACCGCTCAGTGTGGCTGCCGGGCAAAAGTCCAAACGAAGCCAACTTGATTGATTTCAACAACGAACCGCTGGCACGAGCCGAGGAGGGCCCAGGAGCCGGGCCGCTATCCCTCCTATCCGACACCTTCATGACCGTCCCAGAGAACCTTGGCAAGGAAACCGAACGCTTCCGGGAGCTGCTGCTGTTTGGCCGCAAGAAGGTAAAGCGCTTGCCTTTCAGCGACTGACTGTCCGTTAACTGGTAATCTTGTGAAATCTGAATTGAGTTCCGCTTTGTCTGGGAACTAGGACGCCCTAGAGGCGGCTATGAAGGGGGGTCTCTGGGGCCACGCCCTGCTGTTGGCCAGTAAGATGGACAACCGGACCCATGCACGTGTCATGACAAGGTAAAGCACCAAGGGCATTAAAGGTTGGGACTCCCACTCTGCTGCAACTCAATTCTATCATTTGAACAGGCGTAAATCTATTGGGTCCTCTTGTTGTTTAGGTTTGCCAACAGTTTGCCCATCAATGACCCTCTTCAGACAGTGTACCAGCTCATGTCTGGGAGGATGCCTGCATCAGCCACCGTAAGCGTTTCTTCATCCAGCTCTTTCTTTAACCCTTGCTATTTTTCATCATTTGTTTCCGGAGAAGTCGCACAAGCTGTGTACATTCGTTGCCACCTCCGCTTACGTGTGTTTCGAACTCATTCAGTGCTGCGGGGAGGAGAAGTGGGGGGACTGGCGCCCCCACCTGGCCATGGTGCTGTCCAACCTCACACACACGCTGGACCTGGACACTCGCACCATCACCACTATGGGGGACACCCTCGGTAGGACGGCGCCAGCGCGCAGCCTCCAGTGACACTGAGCTGGAGTTTTTCTCATTCTTCGCGACCTCATCGTTCTCTGCTGATTTGTGTGTGTGTGTGTGTGTTGCGGCAGTATCCAAGGGGCTGGTTGACGCCGCTCACTTCTGCTACTTGATGGCCCAGGTCGGTCTGGGAGTCTTCACGAAGAAGAGCACCAAGATGGTTCTGATCGGCTCCAACCACAGGTGACATGGACGGACACGTCCTTTTTTCTAGACCACGCTACGGTTTGCGCATAATAGGCGACACATAACCTCATCTTTTGTTTCTTCATTTCAGTTTGTCCTTTCACCAATGTGCGACCAATGAAGCTATCCAGAGGACTGAGGCCTACGAGTATGCTCAGTCTCTGGGCTCGCAGTCGTGCTCACTACCCAATTTCCAGGTATATATTATTTTGATAGTTGCAGATAAATGAATAAACCAACACAGTGTAGATCTTCATACAGATGCCCAAACAAGTAATAAGTGATTTGTACTGAAATAAGTCAGGAAGTGTGTTCGTTTCGCCAGCAGTATGGCTTAGCACGTGCTTTAAAGATGCTACTACTGAGGAGTGACTCTGATCTCTTTTGTCTCTCGTCAGGTGTTCAAGTTGATCTATGCATGCCGTCTGGCCGAAGCGGGTCTGAGCGCTCAGGCCTTCCACTACTGTGAAGTCATTTCACGGAATGTCCTCATGCAGCCTTCCTATTACTCTCCTGTTTTCATAAGCCAAATTATACAGGTATGCTCCCCTCGGCCTCCTTGTCGACCCCTCTGGTCCTCCTCCGCTCACATACGTACCCGTTTCAGCATTCTAAGAAGTGTTTAAAAAAAAAAAAAATGTCATTCCGTTTGTTGACAGATGTCGGAAAAGCTGCGATTCTTTGATCCACAACTGAAGGAGAAGCCGGAGCAGGAGTTGTTCAATGAGCCGGAATGGCTGATCCACCTCAGGCAGCTGGATGGACAGATGAGGGTGAGGAGGAGGAGCAGGAAGAAATGTGGTTGTAGTTATGTGCGGCCATTTTTATTTACACAAGGCTTTTAAAAATACAGCTTTTAGTGTCAGTAGTATTTTTATTTTTTTTAGTGTATGGCTGACGTGCTACTTACATTAACAGAATTTATCCGGTTTTCAAAAATGCTTAAATTTCTATTTTCCAGATGGAATGTTTGGAATTTGAATTACTCTCCCTAATTGGTTCCTATGGAACAAATGTTTGACGCCTGTCTTCTGCTTCTACTTACTTTCTAGACGGGAGTGATCACATACAACGAAGACCGAGCAACTCCTACACAGTTCGACTGCAGCAGCCCCAGCTCCGACCTGGACCAGCTGAGTCCAGCGGAACCGTACAGCGTGCCTCATGCTAATCATGAGGTAGACGGCCCCGCCCCCGACAACCAACTGATGAGCTCTTTACTGCCCGGGGCTCAACCGCAGGGAGTTCAGCTGATGCCCCCAGGTGTGTTTCTTGGAACCTCACTGTACTACGAGCTAGATTCCGACCTGCGTCCAACCTCATATTGTCTACTTTCTCTCAGCTCCCACCTCTATCCTCCAAGACGGGATGGCACCTCCTCAGCCCTTGCCCACCGGTGAGGTCCCCCAGTTCTACCCAGTACCCCCCAGTGGACCCCCAGGCCACATGGCCCTCTCGGGCTACCCTCCACAGGACCCTGGCTTTGCCCCGCCTCCCTTTCAACCCCAACCGGAGCAGACCGAGATGTACCCAGGAGCCCATCAGCAGCCTCTTCATGCGGGCCACACGTCTCCGTATGCGCACCCCGCTCAGCTGCCGCATTCACCAGTACAGATGAACCCCCCGCCGCCCCAGATGCACCATCACATGCCCAATCACGTGAACCAACACATGCCCCCTTCCCCCGGGCACATGGCGCCTGCACAGCAGATGTCCCACCCCCCGCCGGAGATGCACGCTGCTCAGGCCGTATCCTCCTCCCCACGCAGGAGCTCCTTCACACCACAGATGGACTTCTATGACCACATGGCTCACGTTGTGAGTAATTGACTGTACAAATATCTAAAACTTTATGACGTATAGCCTTTTGCCCAAAAATGAAATGGTGTCCGTGTTTTCTGGCACTGCAGGCCCCCGGCAGGAGGTCACGGACAACGTCACAGTCTTCGATGCATATGGTGCGTTTTTTGGTCCACGCAGAAACCGCTGAAATAATCTTCTGTTGAATCTGTCCAGTGCTTGTTGGTTTTTCACTTGTTTTCCGATGTGGAGCAGCCCCCTTGTGTACGATGCCCAGAAGCAAGGCGTGTGTGTGCGTGTGTGTGTTACTGACCAGTCATTTGCGGCCTACAGGCTTCGGGGCGCCGCTCTCGCACCACCTCAGAATCTTCTACTCACTCGGGCGGCAGGGAGCGGAGCAACTCGGCCGTCAAGCAGGCCTCTCCGCCTCCGCCCTCGATCCCCGAACAGCCGCGCGCAGAAGAGTCCAAGAGAGTCAAGAAAGACTCCCCGAAAAAGGTTCATATGGATGCATCACCACCCCGATCCGATTCAGTGCTCTTACAGCGTTCACCTGTGGTTACCAGTGCTGTTTCCTTTTCTTTCACCCAGGGTGGTGGTAGGGGTGGAGGAGGAGGAGGAGGTGGTGGTGGTTGGCTAAACTGGCTCTATAGGAAGGGAAAGAACGAGGCTCACTTGCCCGATGACAAAAACAAATCTGTGAGTTGTTACACGTGTTATTTTCGCATTCTTCTGTGTTCGCTTCAGTATTTTTGCATTAGTTTTGCTCATGTTTCCTCTAATGTGGGACCAGTTTTAAGAGCCCTTTGGTCTTGATTGGCAGATTGTCTGGGATGAAAATAAGCAGAAATGGGTGGACTTGAACGAGCCTGAAGAGGAGGTCTGTAATCGCAGCGTCTTACTTTTAAGCAGAGTGGCTTTGTCCAAAGCTTTTATAGAATAAACAACTTTATTTATTTATTTATTTATTTTTAGAGCAAGCCCCTTCCACCTCCTCCCCCCGGCTTTCCCAAGATGCCACACATGCCTGGTCCCGGAGGACCTGGCGGACCTCCGAGTGGTGGCCCTCCTGTCAACATGTTCTCCAGGAGAGCGGGTCAGCGGAGGATTCTTTGCTCGGGCGGTTCTGTTCTGTGTTTGACCTAATTAGTCAGACAGCTTTTCACACTTTTTTCTTTCTTTGTTTCTTTTCAGGCACAAAGAGCCGGTATGTGGACGTTCTGAACCCCGGCAGGATTGCTAAGCCGGGCGGAACGGCGCCTCCTCCTGCGGAGATCTTCGCCCCTTTGGCGCCAATGTCCATGCCCGCTAACTTGTTTGTGCCTAGTTCGGGTGCGTGTCGTCTGTCCAAATGGATTTCATTTTAATGAGGATTGGGAAATATTCTCAATTTATGATGGATGCAAATACTTTTGTTGAAGATTATTTTGGAAGCCGCTGTACAAACTGAAGATATAAAATATTTGTGCGCAGCTCCTGGCGATCAACAACCTCTGGAAGGCAGCGAAGGAGCAAATCAGGAGCAGAATTCACCGAACGCCATCGCTGCTACACAGGTATGTGTTTCTCTTTGCTCTCTTTTAAAAGAATAAATGTCTACGGGGGCGGATAAGTTCCTTTTAGCCAGTCACCAAGAAGTACAAAGCTGAAGGTCTACTCATCCACATTCCCTTCTGATGCTCTTGAATTAATCTGACTAGATGTTCAACCCAACGTTGTTACCGCCCGCCCCAGAAGGTCCTGCCATGCCTGATGGTTCACGATCCGGGGAGGTAAGACCCGCTCCTCCTGCAGCCACCGTAGCACCATCATGCCACCACTGAACCATAACGCTCAACATCCTAACCGGCAGTGTACTTTTTAGTGTGTGTGTGTGTGTGTGTATATATAAGATCATGTTAGTTGGGGAACATGGAAATGCAAGCATGTCAACTTAAAATCTTTCCCCATAAACTCGCAGCCTTGCTGCAATGTTGATAATATGTTCCATTTGTTGTTTTAATCAAATTTTCTCCATCTAAGCCATAATTTTGCTATCGCTAATTGTGTTTATTTTCATTCTAAACCGTTGGATAGTGGAAGCACATCTAATCTGATGCATGGGAGAATGATAATATGGGTTTGTGTGTTTTTGTTGTCGACTGCTTTATTTCCCTTCTGCTGTCTTTAGCTCTCGCGTTCTAGCTCAATGAGTTCTTTATCACGAGAAGTGAGTCAGCATTTAAACCAGGTACCTCCAGCTGGGCCTCAAACAGTCCATCCTCCCCCTCCTGCTTGACCCCTACCCGTCCCACATACCTCCATAGCTCCCCCCTTGCCACAAGCAGCACGCCTCACCATTTGCACCCCGAAGCTCTTCTAACCCAAGACGTCTGCCTGCCGTCTCCAGCACCTCTGACTCTGAACGCGCTACTCAACCTGGCGAATGACCAGCGGGTCCCAACCAACCACAATGAAGTTATTCCCTTCTGTCTACCGCCATCCTAGCGTCGGTCAGAGTGAGGCGTGCTGGAGACACGGCGCGCCCCCCCCCCCCCCCGCGCTTGTCGTCAGCACAGAACCGCAGTAACGCATCATAAAGCTTGCATGGTTACTAAAATACGTGAAGCTGTATTTTTTTCATGCCTTGTTGCCGTTAGTTTACCCTCTTTCCCTTGACGTCCCTGTTTAAAATGTTTTCCTCGTCCTGCCCGTAGAAGTGAGTCGACAGCGCGCACACAGTCTATTTGACTCTATTTGTTCTTTGCAGAGTCCCGCCCAGGAAACGGCACCCGCTGGAGGCGTCACCTTTTATAACCCTGCAGCACAGTTTGCACAGGTGAGAATAGGAAACAGTTTGGCTGTTGTAAAAAGGGGGGGGGGGGGGGTCTCTCTCATTTGTGTCATTTTCACTTCTTAACGCTCTTTCCTTGCTGCTGTTTTTTCGTCCCAGCCATCGGGAGGCGGAGCCCGCTCTGGGCGTTTGGGGGGTCCGCGGCAGTACCCGGTGTTGAAATAAACATGGTCTTACAAAGAGGTTGTGTGAACAGACTTGTGAAGTGAATGAAGCACATGGACACGCTGCTCTGTGCCTGGACCTGTTTTTGTTTTTACCCGCCCTTAAGAATCATGTAGATCTTTGTCCCACCACTTAACCACTGTCCTCGATTTCTCTGGCTCGGTAATTGTCACTGGTGTATTTTTAACAGGCATCAGCATCTTTCTGAAGGGCTTTTTTTCTAGCATCCAAACTGAAAACAGACAGTTTTGGTGTGTTTTCTCACACACACACATTTCAAATCTAAAACATGGATGCATTCATACACATTATGTTTGTTCATGTATAATAAATTGTTTCTCTTCAAATCTAACACTGTTAACAAAACAATCCTGAATACTGCTTCCCCTCTGTTTCCCTCTGTGTATAAAGTCCAAATGTCCCCGTTTGATCCATCCATTGATTGATTGATTGTGTGATGAGCGGAAAGCGGCAACTTTCAGTTCCACGTTATGGATGCACGTATGTGCACCTGCAGCTTTTCAGTGTCACCTGGAGACGAGATGTCGTGTGAGTGAGTTGTGTCCATAGTGCATTGTCTGCTTTCCAAACAGTCGCCCCTCCTGTAAAGGAAAGATGCGTTCGATGAAACGGGAAGGACGCTCGAAGCCGCCGTCACAACCGCATAGTTGAAGACGGTCTCGCAGTGCTCGGATGCTGCTCGTTTCAGATATTTATTTCACGGTCCTCCTGCCCATCGACAACTCTTGACTTTTTAAAGTTGTTTCAGCTTCTCCTTAAGAGAAACGCGCGCCGATCACTGAAGCGAGTGGAGGTTTTCAGAACAGCAGGAATTGGGATTCAAACTGTTTTAAATGTTGCTAAAAAGAAATCTATCCAAATATTTGTATATCAGATTGATTGTATTTATGAGCTGTAGGCAGCGTAGATGTATGTGAGTGTGTGTATGTGTGGAGAGCAACTATTTTTTTTCTGATAGCTTTGAAGAAATGCAGTTCTGACTCCCCAGTGATGACGTGGATGGATTTACTGATCATTTGTATTGGCCAGACAAATAAATCTTTATCTAAATTGAGTGTTAATTGTGCTCTAAATACTCCCTTGTCATTTCAATTTGCTGATGTGTGTTTTTAATTAGATTATTTGTCCGCCTAAATGTTCCCGCTTGAATCATCTTGTAAACCTCCGGCTATGATTTCAATTGTTCAATTGTTTCGCCCAATGTTTGAGTTCCTCATGTCAAATTATTGACTTAACAGTGAATACAGAAGGTGAAAATGAAATGGTAATAAAGGTTTTGTTTTTTTTGCGCTCTGTAGCACTTTGAAAAAAAATGTCGTTTGTTTTTTATTCATTACCGGATTTTGTTTTTTGCAGATAACTAGTTCATAAGTATCCCTAATGTAGATACAGATGCAATGCAAATGAACACTTCTTCATTTTTATATAATTTGCCATATTTTCTCTCGGCAGCAACATTTCATCAACTTAAACCTACATTATGTACAGTACAAAAACAAAAGTTGTCATAGCGTGACTGTTGGCGACAACACTCTTCTCCCGCTGTAAACATTTTCATCAAGCAACAATGAAGTTCTGATGCCTTGTGTGGAAGCTCGGCTCCCAGGTGGAGCAACATCGATGCATAAATGTTTTAGAATTGGAACACAGTCCATTTCTCTGTGAAAGACATTCATGTGCTGACAAAGAGATCCCATATTCCAAAGAGCAATATCAGCTCGCGCTAACTGGACTTTTCAATTATTTACAATAAGTGCAGTCAATTTTGGACTCCTCACAGTCCACTCAATGAATATGAAGAAGTTCGCTGCTTATTAAGGTGAAATGTGATCTCCTAAAGGGATGTGCTCACACTTCCCAGCATCATATTATTCGAGTTAATCACGATCATTTACTATTCTTATTTTGTGTGTAAAATATTGCAACGCTCTTGCGGTCAAGTAGACAGAGTTTGATTCGGAGAGTCCAGTGCAGCCTGTGCTTTCTGAACAGCGACCTCCAGCATCGTGTGGTCCCTGAGCAGCTGGTGGAGAGCAGCTGGGTCCATCTCCAGCAGCATACCTGCACCAACAGACGCAGAGGAACAGAAGCAGCTTCCTAAGGTATAACGTCTTTGACATTAATTAAGTTTAAGTAAGTACATAGTTGTAGGTCACCTGTAATATAATTTGCATGTAGAGGATCTAGCTCTTCCACTAGTGAGAAGATCTTCTCTCCGAGCCGCTCTGCGTCGTCAGCGTCACTAATGCCTGTCCCTTCCATGTTCTGCCTGAAGGGAGGAACATGATTTTGAATAGCGGGTTAACGTTAATTAAACAGAAAAATGGTTCATTTATTTTATTAAATTTTGTAGATTTTACAAGCAATCAACGGCAGTGAGACACGTACTCCTTAAGTGTCTTCAGCGAGAAGTTCACCTGCTCTTCCAGTAGTTTAGGGTCAGAAAGAAGGTTTAAAATGGCCTGTTTGTGCTGTTCCAGGAGCATTCCTGTGGAAGAACAGCAAATGACCAAGTATGTCACAAAAAAAGTAATACTATAGTATCTCAATAAAAGCTTTTCATATAAACCTAATACAAGGGTCATTGTCATAAAGAAGTGATAGCAAAGTATGCATTACACGCCTGTTGCTTATAAATGTATTTGCCCATGCAAATGTTGCTTCGGGCCTTAAGGGTCTCTAATCTACAGCATCATAGAAGGTGTTTGTTTGGTCCCACAGAACTGGTTGCTTACCTGTGATTTTCTGGGAGTGGCCGGTGTTGTAAACATCCACCAGCTCAAACAGCTGCTCGCCCAGAGAGTCAGAAGACACAGACAGGTCATCGTCGTCCTTACACGGTATCTTGCTGCAAAGAGGTGCAGGGACTCGTTATTGCACACATTGAATGTTTTTTGACACATTAATTCCATGGAGTGCCATTTTTTAGACTCTGGCACACAAATCTGACTATCAATAGTTCCTTTTTACCAAAATGTTTGATACTGCCTTAATGGGAAAACCTACCCTCAGGAAGACATTTATTCAAACATCTAAACATTGCATAAAGCCCGCTGCTGGGAAATTGCTCGGAAATTGCAACCAGACTGTGTGACAGAAGGAGGATTACCGGTCGGGCAACCACACTGCCCAATGCTGTACCTGGGTTCCTGTGCCAGCTGCAGGGCTCGCAGGGCTTTTTCCACACCTTCGGACAGCGTGGCCTTGTCCTGCACCATCTGCCTCAGGACAGGTGCTGGCAACTCCAGCAGCATACCTGGAAGACACCCCCACACACCCACACACACACACACACACACCCCCACACACCCACACACACACACACACACACACAGGCTTGGGAACCGTCTTTTGATTTCGTATTATCAAAGTTAAATCACACAACGTGACATGCGGTTCAACTCACCTGTGAGTTTTCCAGCATTCTCTTTGTGTTTGGGGTGAATCAGAGAGTACAGTTCCTCACCAAGTGTCTCCAGATCTTCTGCTTTATCCATGTTCTCACATGAAGACACCGCTTGCGAGTGTCATGTTACATCATACTGTAACTTTATAATGACCTAACACATCAAAATATCTGTATCCTTCCATAGAGATTATTTATAATAGAATAGTATAATTTTCTGTCTGCGTACCCTTCTCAAAAACTCATATCACTATTTAAATTGAACTCGTTTTAGGGTTAAAACAGCTGACATTTTATATTTTGACGGCTCTCTGTAAACACAAGGCGCGCATTAATGACGTCACCGTTGGAATGCGCAGGGTAAAGTGATGTTCCTCCGCAGGGCTTGCGGATAACTAGTACCTGACACAAGAACATTTAATATGTTCTTGTGTTGTAGTACGGATAGAATGATTACACAGTGAATGGACGTGACATTTACCTGTATCTTTAAAATTGGATAAAACATGTGTTTGATGGCAAATTATATATAAAAAAATTACCAGTAGGCGCGCACTGATCTGAGTTAGAGGTTCCGTTAAGCGGTTTCCGGTCTCTCCAGTCCTTTTCCTCCGCTAAAAGGTAACGTGGTCGCCACGGCAGCTATTAGCCACTCACTAAAGTGAAATTATTGTGTGTCTCTGCCTGTTTTTTGTTACACAAAGTAAGCAATTATTATTGTGCATATTGTGTTGTGCCCTATGGGTCATAACATCTCCTAGAATATTTTAGGAATGGAAAGATACATTTGTGATTACGTCGTCCGTACTAGGCCTCGTTGTGCGCCGAGCTCTGGAGCTAACGTTAGCTAGCCGTAGCTAACTGCTTCAACTTAACCACTGGGCTGTCCTGTATTAACCAGTGCATTGTTTAATATACACAGTATGTTCTGTAATACCTAATCAACAATTACGCACGCTTAAATGTTTGGCTAATTTAGGAAATTTGTTACCAAGGGAACACGTTGACGATCAAAATGTTAGCAATCATATGACGCCTGTCGTCAAGTATCTAACGTTAGAGGCTACACCTGTAACCCTTTACCCAAAGTGTCCATCAGATGGGCTTCAGTAAAAATGACACTTGTCTCGTTTTGTCCAGGTTCACCATGTCGTCCCATTTGCAGTGGATGGTCATCAGGAACTGCTCCAGCTTCCTCATCAAGAGGAACGGACAGACCTACAGTACTGTGAGTAAGGTTACAGATCTAACCATAGAAAGGTGTTAACATTATACGACCCAACTAGCTGTTCCTTAAAAATCTGTATAGTCTGTATCTGCTGTAATACGGCACACTAAGTGTTGTGTGTGGACCCTGTAGCTTACAGGAGGTGATCGGAGTGGTCAAGACTAATAAATGTGTAGTCGTCTGTCTGCCAACACAAGGGGGGGTTGTCTGATTGTAATGTATTGTAATGTGACAGGAGCCCAACAACCTGAAGTCCAGGAACTCGTACCGCTTCAATGGTTTGGTGCACAAGAAGACTGTCGGTGTGGAGCCGGCTGCCGACGGCAAGGGAGTCGTTGTGGTGCTGAAGAAACGCAAAGGTAAACATACATATATAATTGTCTTTATCTGATACTCGATCATTTGAACTTAAAGTACATTTTATTAACTGCTTTTCCTCTTCATGAATGTCTTACACGACTACATTGTTTCCTTGCTGCACAGGCCAGAACAAGCCAGGACGCGCTTACCAGAAGATCACCATCAACAAGAACTCCCGTGCCACCCTCAACAGCATTAGGCACATGATTAGCAAGAACAACTACAGAAAGGACCTGCGCATGGTGAGCTGGTGATGTTTGCCACTAAAATAGTTTGTGTCGTGGTCCTTAATTTGTAGTTTGTATTTCAACGGTGTCAGTATGATCATTTGAGTGTCCTGTGTCCCCAGGCCGCCCTGCGTCGTGCCAGTGCTATTCTGAAGAGCCAGAAGCCCGTTGTGGTCAAGAAGAAGCGCACCAGGGCTGCAAAGACCGCATAATGATACACATGATGATTAAATAAAAGCTTCTTTGGGAAAAAAACACCTTGTTGCCCTGTGTCTTAACTGGATCACTACTCCAGCTGTGGTTTCTAATATGACAGACATAGTAGGTATCTGACTGGTTTGGGGAAATTAATCCAGTTCTTACCAAGCATTCGTTTCATGCTTAATTGTTATTGTCAGCGTTTTATGGATATAAAAGTTATATTTATTGGCGCGACCTAGACGGCAAAGCTCTGACTCCTGGATATGTCGTACAGATAAAAGCATTTTGAGCAGAGTTCAGGTTTTTTTTTTTCTTTAACAATTAACTCCATAACAAGGTATATAAGCATTAGTGTACATTTGACTTATGGGTGGTTATTGCACAGGAATTACATCATGTGCTGTTTCCTGTGCACTAACCACCCTGAAACAAACTCATGTAGCTGTTAGTGGGAAGTTTCACTGACCAGAGTCTTCTGCCCTTAATGATCTCATCACCAGCAACAACAACTTCTAGAGAATGTTTAACATCAATTATTCAGGAAGTTAAATCCCAACCCAATCTTAAAGTACTGTCCTCGTGGCCTCGCTGCTCGGATGTGCATGTCCTACATGTGACACAAATAAGCTACAACTCATTGGATTGTTTACCTCTGCGCCCAGTCGGCACATAAACTCCTCTTTTATCCATATTTTTTATATAATATTATTTTCCACAAATACCAGAGGAACTAATTTCTTTTCCTCATTTTCAACACAGCATTAGTTTAAAACAGCAGCTCATACCAAAGGAAACAAGGCCTGTTGCTTTCATCACAGTAACCAATGAGGTGGAAACATTGGATGGATTTTGAAGCAGCCCGCTGGCAGCTTTCCACCCCTGGCTTTGGAAAGAAACAAACCGCTGTCACCTCCCCTCGAGTTTAAGCCGGTGAAGTATTCTGCAGTAATCATTTCTGCCGTGGATCACTTCTCTTCTACCCGGGACTGACGAGAGGGGATGAGCTGGACCCTGAAAATGTGACACGGGCCGCGGGGGACGCTATGAGGGGACCGAGGCCCGTGCTTTTCTTCGTGCCCTTGGCCCTGCTGCTCCTGCAAAGTCGGAGCTTTGAACTGCAGGACACCATTCATGCACTGATAGAGGAGAACATCCACCTCCACGACCAGCTGGAAAACCTCACCCAGGCCCTCAGGGAACTCAAGCGGATGCTCGTGCATCACTCAAATGGTACAATCTTTTTCCATCTATATATATAAAGTATATATATATATATATATAGTATATATTCAAGTTGTTTACACTGGCACACATGTTGCGTTTGTACATTTGAATAGAACCGTGGAATTTCATTTGAATCTGCCGACGAATACTCCAGGACAGCCTGTGCTTTGTGCGACTGCTGCTGAAATGCATATTAACCTTGTGAAAATTTGTTTAAAAAAAACAAAACAGCTCTGCCCAAAAGGTCAAACCCCCCCCACCCTCCCTCCCTCTAATTTCCTGTTTGTGTCATGTCCGCTTGCTCTTAATCCTTCTCGTGGCCTGTTTTCATCCCCTTATGTCTCTAACTACCAGACACTTTTACTCACGATCCGGGTGTGTTTTCGTCATCTCACACAGACCCAGATCACCATGAGCACCGCGAACACCCGGACGAGGAGGCCCAGCACCTGTGGGACGAGTGGTCGGAACACGGTGTGTACCCCCCCGACATCCCAAACTCCCTGCAGATGCTGCTGCATGCGCGAGGTGTTGCACCGGCCCGTGGCCTCATTTGCCATTGATTTTGTGACCGTGCAGGATGCAATCAGGCTTAACGATTGCATGAGAGGGGATGAATGAAGTGCAATGTGAGCCTGAGGTTGAACGTGCCGAATGCTCCCGGGCGTGCTGACGGTGTCCCCCCCCCGCCCTCCTCCCCTCCCTTCCACCCAGGCGTCAGCGCGGAGACCCACCTTCTGCTGGAGCAGGCCTTCTGTGGACACGACCCGCTGCCCTCGGCCGCTCCGCTCCGCGCAGAGACGGCCCCCCCGCTGCTGACGTCACTGGGCCTCCTGCTGCTGCTGACGGGAGGCTTCTAGGCGTCACTCCATTGTGTGCAGGAAATGTGGCGTTTGTCACAAGTACGCGGCAATAGTTATTGAGCAGTGAGTTGTGATACCAAAGAGGGGGGGGGGGATTAACTCGAAATGGGCTGCGGCTCTTCTGAGTGATTATTGAGTGGATCGAGTCGGGGGGCCAATCACCGCGGGGGAGTTCAGTGACCTGGAAAGAAGCATTTTGATGCTAGTGGATTATTAAACCTGGTGATCGCATCCATTGTGATATGATTGTAAATCGTATAACAACTTTATTTGATCACTTAAGCTTTGAACCCTGATGAACGTTTAGTAGTTTGGATTCCTTGAGAAATAATCTTGGGTACAAACTTTTTTCACAGCAGGTATTTGTACATTACCGATGGCTGTTCATGATATTAGTGGCACTTGATTGACGGCTCAAAATGTTTGCTTTGAATGTCTGAAAATACTTCTGACCTTTGAATACAATAAATGGACACTTTTAGGATGCGCTCAAGAGCCCAACGATGTCACAATTTGAATATTTACTTTGACCAACTGAGTAAAATGAAAATGTTCAAGGTTCATTTTGGCATAAAGTGTTAAAACATCCTTCATTTCATGTAAAAAGATTGGGGTTCATTTGGAGGTGTGATTCCAGCCGCCCAACAAAAAACAAACAATCCCTTCTTAGTTTTTTTGTTGAGGTGGTGCTGAGCACGTGTACCGTGGGTTTATGTTTTCTGAACTCGGCTAGAAACGAGCCTCCAATCAGAGGCAGCCACTGTTCACATACTGTACACTTTGTTTAATTACAAACCAACAAAAGAAAATGACAGTCACTGAGTCCAAACAGTTGTTTATTATCCTGACTATATGAAATGCTACAGCACATATAAAAGTTTAAAAAATGAACGAGTGAATGAATGAATGAGTCAGTTTGGGCTGCAGGATTTGGATTCTACAGAGTGAAATATTTAATACAATAAAAGATGCAAACGAAACAAAAACGGATTGTGTTTAAACACAATGAATAAATAACTGACAGTCACAGCTGAAACAAAACATTTAAAGTAATATCTACATCATTCACTCTAACTAACTTTTGATCGATGCCATGAGGAGAACCCTCCGGCCGTGATCCCTTGTGTGCATTTACTTTTGGTTCTGCTTCAATGCCGGCTGTACGAGTAGCAACAAAGCTTCCCGGCTCAAATCGGTCATCCCACAACGCTCCATATACATCAAAAAAATCATCTCTTCTCCGTGCAGGCCGTGCGCACATGCTCCCGGAGAGACTCTCGCGCGGCTCTAGTCTATATCGAGGTCGGAGTCGTCGTCGCTCACAGTGTTCTGCACAATGGCTCCGTTGCGGACCGTCTTCGGGACCCCGGAGGGCTTGTCGGGCAGCATGCCGTACTCCTGCAGCAGGGCCTCCACGTCCACGGCGAAGAAGTCTTCCCCGAGCTGGTCGGTCACCCGCACAAAGTTGCCGATCAGGTCGCCGCCTTTGTAGACGAGCAGGGCGGGCAGAGCGCTGTCCCTGAACAGCGCGCTGGTGCTGATGGCCGAGCTGCGCACGCTGCAGAATTTGACCAGCGGGTACTCCTGGGCCAGGCACATCAGGCTGCCGCTCATGCTCTCGCAGCCCGGGATGTCGGGCTCGTAGATGTGGATCATGACCAGCGTGCTTTTGTCCTCCTTGTCCAAAGCCTCCAGGAAGTCCTCGCCGCTGGCGAGCTCGTAGACCTGCGCGAAGCGCTTGCCGCTGCAGAGCTGGCGCCGCATCTCTTCGATGCGCTGCATGCGGTAGTGCTGGAGGAAGTCCTCGTCGTCCTCTTCCTCCTGGAGCATGTTGTACTCTTGCATGGTCATCTGTGGGGGAGACGAGGAAGAGGAATCAGATTAATAAATGGAATCGTTTGACATTTTAGGAAATATTCTTTCTGGGCCGAGAATCAGATCAGATGATTGATGCTGCTTTAGTGCCTGGATCATAACGGCTCGACTCTTCAACCGGCAGGTCAGCTGAGCACAAAGGATGGAAATGGAGGGAAACGGCTGGCTTTGCGCTGTCCACAGGTTACAAAAGCCACTCAACTCTAGAACTCTAGATCGTACTCTTAACACATGTTTGTTTGATCTGAAAACGTAAAGGAAAAAACACACACATTTGCAGTTTTACAGGCATTTTGTAAAATGATTTGGCCAGGGATAGTTGCTAGGCAACCGACAAAACCTCCAGGAAGGTACTGGTCAAAACCACGCAGGAGTCGGATACATAACCCCTAATGAAATGTGATGAATCCAACCTTCTGGAGATTAAATTTGTTCCGCATTGGCTAATTATGACTATAATAAACTTGCAAAGTGAAACAAAATATGTCACCAAATGCATTAATCCATAATTCGATTCTCAGAAATTAGAAGACGGAGGTGCAGGGGCTTTGTTAATGAGGTTGTATTTAATTAATATCATGCCTGTATTTAGCCTTTTCCCACTGGATGTGTCCCATTGGCGAGCGTGGCACAGTTCCAAGAGTGAGTCATGGGCTGCCAGTTAGGAGAGAGGAACCGGAATCTCTCAAGCATCTCCTTCTTTTACATATCTATCTATCGTTGTCCTTACTTTGCCTTTGATTTTCTCCTTCAGCTCTTTCTGTTTGTCTTTGTCTTTTTCCAGGTCGAGATCGGAGCGGCAGGTCATCGACAGCTTCTTGATCAGTCTTTCCATCTCTTGTTTCTGCTCTTGTTTCTGCTCCACCTCCAGCTGCTTGTACTTCCTCCAGTCATTGATGACACCCTTTGGTCCTGAGAGAGAATAGACAGTTTTACCATCACATTCGCACACAGTGGTCTTATTCGGAAAGTACTTTCCTTGGCGTGTGTATTAGTACCTGTGTTGACAGCACTTCCATCTGCGCTGTATTCTATTTCCGGCTCCTCGACGTTAGCGTCTCGGATGGTCTTGTTCTCGCCATCCTCTTCCTCGTTGTCACTGCCTTCGTCCTCACTGCTGCTGTAGTAGTACTGCAGCTTCTCCCCCAGAATCCTGTCATCCAGAGTCGTCATGACAACGGCTCAACTGAGGGCAGAAGTTTTCAATGTTTTAGATTTAGATCGATTCAACGGGTTTCTTCCTCTCATTCTTCATCTTTGTAGTGAAGGTCAATACAAACAAATCTAATATGCTTATACCTAAAACTCAAGACTATTTGAATAGAAAAGGCGGTCTCTATTTTGTTAAGAATATGACTAAATTTGCATGAGCTCCAGCGGACAGCGACACTACTTTATTTTTCACCCGTCATGGACTAAACCTCTACAGATAAACTCTGTTTGTGTGACACTGTGTGAGCGCAGCGGTCAGTGGAGCAGAATGATGCAGATTGACAGCCATCCAAGCTGTTATGGGTCACACAGAAAGGGCTTATGTCCCAAAAATAGGACATCTGCATAATACGTAGCTTATGAGAAGCGTGTCAACGACACCGAGAGGCCTTTAGTGATGCTCTGAACCTTTAGTGAGGCAGCATATGTGCACCGATCCAAGGAAGCGGACGCTCCCTCTCCCTTTAACCGTGGCAAGGAAGGAAAACGAAAGAAAACTGATTTTAACTACAGCTACTCTGCTTGATATGATGGCGGCATTGCTCCACACTCAATAAAATGTACTCAACACAAGTAATAAACAGTAGGGACGAAGGGCCGCAGCACACACAGTTCACTGTCAGCTAACAGTTAGCTGCGTTCTCTACGAACCGCTGGCGATGTGACAGCTACGACAGCTAGCATCAAAAGCGCTACGCTGTATTTTGCCGTTTTCCCCAAGTGCCTCAAAGCCAGTGGAAAGAGGATAGAGGCAATCCAATAATCTTGTTGAGGAAGTAGGGCACGGGGCAGTTTGCGTTTGAGATCGTGAGCTAACGCTCGGTTAGCATTAACAGCCGTCAACCGAGCTAATGTCCGCTGCCTCAGGAGCTAGCCATAAACCGAGTATATTTAAGAATTCGCTATAACATTGAACAACACTACAGAATAATAATAATGTCCATTACTCACCTTGCCCTGATTTTATGAGCAGCTAAGGTTCGTAAATTATCACCAACTCCCAAAGCTGACTGCTGTTAATCTGCTCGTTTAGCTGCCGCACTCTCCCGGAGTGTGATGCGTTCACGGATAACAAAAATGTCGTAATTCGGAAATACAAGCGCAAAGATAACATACACTTAGCTGATTTATTTGCGGGTTCAGCTGTATGTATTGTGTAGACATAACAGGAAATTGAAATACCTCAATATTTGAGGTTTCTTAACTTAAACTCATATATTTCCCCAAATTGCATTAGTTAAAACCAAACACACAAATAGTTAGAATCAAACACCTCAATCTAATGATAAGAACTCATATTGGTTGAGCTGTGATGTTAATTATTGTGGTTTTGTAAATATGTAATTCAAACTATGGAGTGTGATGGGTTCAGATTCAGAAGAAAGCATTAAAGGTAGACTTTACAGAAGGCAATTAAAGGCAACGCGGTACCACGGCTCATCCGGGTTCCTGTGGAGATGCAGGGAGATGCTGGAATTGTTGTGATGGAGTTTCCAACTTCCCAACTAGAGGGCAACGTTGCTATGGAATAGGACAGATAGCACTTATACCACCAGAGCTACTGCTACAACAAAACAATGCAGGCAGGCTCACCAAATTTACCAAGGAAAAACATTGTAGGTCATCATATAATCCAGTACAGTACCATGATACCAATAATATAATCATATACTCGTCCTTTTGTTAATAGAAAGCACTACAAAATGAATATATTCTATTTAGAAATTAGAAGCTAGATAGAATACTACAATAGAAATTAAATAGAAACCACAAGTGCCTGGCAACAACTTTTTTTCGAATGTCATATTTCTTAAAAATATTCAGAGCCAAAAGGTTTTCTGGGTTTCCAAACATCGCAGTGCATCTTGTTTATTCTCGTCATGATTCAGTCTCATAAAAACCAAACCATCAAACCATGGATCTTAAACCATAACAGGCTTTGCAAAGAATCAAAGCTCATCGGTCCTTGTTTTGCTGTCACCATTCCCTCGTTTGGATTGCTCCTCGGTCGGTATTCTGAACGCCACATAAGGACACGTCCTCGTGTTCTGACAGACGAGCTTCTTCAGCGTGGCAGAGTTCACTATGTCGAAGCCCACTTGTCCCCCAAACGTGCTGGGCTTCCAGTAGCTCGGAGAGCAAATAGGGTTCCCGAGGAGCCCTTTAAGGGAGAAGGGGGCACCCATCTCCACCATGCTCTCTCCAAAAATGGCCCCCTGGCGGGTTTTCTCCAACATCATGCCGGGATAAAATTCCATAGCATCAATATCCCCGTAGAGTTCTTCAAGCTCGCGGGCAATCTCCTCGTTATCTGCAAATGGTAATCACAGTTAATGAAATAATCCACAACACGATGGATCGACGAGCAACAACCAGCGTGACGCAACGCGCTGCTCTCGCGGAGCTACAAAAAGGGAATAAGCGACGCGCCTTAAAAAGGTTTCGTTGGCTCCTTACCAGTGAACTGACTGAACGACGTGTACGGCTGGAGGTTAAAGCGCTTCCTGTACTCGTTGAAGGGCTGCATGCGGAGTTGGCGGGACTCCTTGATGGTCACCACAGCCACGTTGGTCACCGCGGCATGGATGTTATAGCCACCGCCGACCTGGAGGACAAAGGTCGAAGAGTGAAGCATCTCACGTGGAGACGGACAGCAGCATGTACAATACAGCACGCTTAGCGGAACGTGTGGATGTGCTTTGTCTGTTTGCTGCATGTCTGCCTCTGTAAGGTACGAGACACACCTTAGTTAGCACACATCTGTTTCAGAACATTAGCCAAGTGCCCTCAGGGCTCTTTTTGCACTCGATACACACATGATGCAATTACAGCGAAACAGACAACCACTTTACAGCTGTTTGAAGCGTGCAAACCTGCAGAGTAAATTACAACTATACAACAAAAAATTAATTATAATTGTATTTCCCCATATTTGTTTGTTACCTGGCCTGCAACTTGCCGAGAGAAGGCGTCCACCAGCTTCTCAATGCCGTAGTCGGTGAGCACGGAGTTGTTGAAGAGGAACTGCTTGTACGACAGCTCGTCTCCGTTGATGAGGAAGCTGTCGGGCATCAGGGGGTGCCAGTGGTACAGCTGACTGAACTCCAGAGCGATGCGGTTCCCGTACTGGAAGCCGGAGTTGAACAGCAGGGTGGGATCAAACTTCAACTGCAGCAGGTACCCACTGAGGTGCTGCACGTACTCCTCGATCACTATTTTTATCGTCTCGCCTGAGACGCAAACAAGGACGGCGGGTTTAAGTCAAATTAACGTTAAGCCGTCTCGTTCAAGTGAAATTGCAGAGCAGACACTGAGCGGTGACACGAGGCAACAGGTTCAACTACGTGGACGTCTGTGAGCCCATATGGGAGTTGCTCACATGCACCCAGTCAAAGCCCTTTGTAAACTTTGCTTTTAAAGGTGCTGTATAAATAAAAATGAAAAACATATATAAAAAAAAACAATTCAAGGAATTGATATGAATTCCCCAAAATGGTGGAGATTTCTGTCCAGCTCACCGATGATGACGAGGCGCGTGGTCTGGAAGAGCTGCTCGTCGTCCCAGGTGGGATGCTCCGCCTTCAGGATGTCACACACCCGGTTGTGCTCCCGCAGCCACAGCGTGGCGAACATCCCCAAACCCGGCAGCAGTCCGAACACCTCCTGACCGATGGCCATCTGGGCCTTGGGAGGGACGCCCGGGGGGTAGCTCATCCGAACGGGGGCATCGGCCACAGAGGGAGGGTACATCTCGCCCTTGACTAACTGAAGGGAAACAGTGTTTTGGGTGAATGTCTTTTTCCAACCCCGTCTGTTTTATCCCACAGTGTCGTGTAGGCTGTATTCACGCCAATAGATTCAGTGAATTCCTGTGTGCTGTGGATCAAATATCCACCGCACGTCACACTCGGGAGTGAAAGGTATTTGTCTTTAACAGCATGCGCAGGTTCGTCATTGTGCTTCTTCTCTCGATTCTCGCACCTGATACTTGAGCTTCCCGTCCTTGTGGAGCCTGAGCCGAAGCTGACGTTGCAGGTTGTCTCCGTAAACGTGCCCTGCATCCACCTGCACGTGTCACCGGGGGGGGGGGATGAAAGGAAATATAATGCAAAAGAAAGTAAAAGGAAGTAAAGGAAATCATGAATATATTCAAAGCACGAATGCAAAGCGAAAAGAAGACGGTCGTTCAAACAGTGTGTACTCTTACTAAAACAGACATGAGCTGTGAATGGACTGACCCCGTGCGCCAGAGCCTTGGTGAAACCCACTCCCATGCGATTGTAGGTCTTAAAGAACTGGTGGGTGAAGTGCTGCGCGAAGAAGGCGAACAGCAGGTTGGAGCCCTGCGGGTCGGGCCTGAACGTCCTTCTCTTCAGCAGCCTGTCGACCAGCAGCTCAGGGTCGGGCAGCCCGGCCTCGCCTGAGAGGCGAAGAGCACCACGTCACGCGGTGCGCGTGGCCAATGGAAAAAAAACACGCAGATACGCCGCGCTTGCCGTCATAATACTGAACGAGCACTGATACTGATACGGTTAACACATCGTGCCGCCCCGCTGGACACCCCCCCCCCCCCCCCCCCCAAGGTCAACAAACAGATAGCAAAACAATACTTTATATACATAATAATAATAATAATACAAGACATGAAAGGCTAACCTTTGACCCCCAGAGGTGTGGGGCAGTCCTTGGGCACTGGGGGCAGAATCCGAGTGTAGTAGCTGAGATTGTAGTAGGATTCCCAGCTGAGGTAGCCATATTTAGAGTTGTAGGTTGGTGGACTGGGTATTAAGTTGGACCTTACTGTTAATTTGAAGGGGAAAAAAAAGTTATTTAACACTTTGAATTTGAGAAAACCGTGAATAGATTTCATGAATGAATTAACAGCTGACTCCGGACCTGTGAGAACCAGCCGCATGAGGACGTTCTGCAGGAAGGAGGAGTTGATGACGTCCCAGAGCCGGTTGAAGTGTGTGAGAACGTAATGCTGCACATCTGGACTGGGCTTCACGAGCAGCCGCACTCTGGTCCAGAACTCGGCTGTGGTGGGCGGACACGTTGAAAAAACAAAAATTTACTTAACAAAGTTGTTATTACGGGAAGTTAGGCCGCCTAAGATTTTGAGTGGGAAGAAATTCCCTCAGCAGGTCAAAGTCAACAAAAACTGAGTCCAAGAGCAAACTTCGAAAGCCGTGTCTGCGTGTTACAAGACGCCGCGGGGCCCCAAAAGTGTTTGAGCGGATCAAACTGAACATTTTCTTTTAGGTACTGCTCCATTTAACCACAATGGATATAATAAAGGCTCATTAAGGGTCTTGCTTTATTCCTTTTTCTTAACATCTTTCAGCTTATACAATCCAATTGGGTTTAATCAAATTTGTTTTTTTATCCAACCACATCTTTTCACTCTTCGACTCTTTTCACTCTTTCAACAGCTATCTCTATGTCTATATATCTATAGCTATTTCCTGCAGCTATCTGCAGGAAATATCTTAGCGCCAAAATCCGGACGAGGACCTCAAGGATTGCCCAATCCTCCCCCCCCCCCCCTCCTGCTCCTACTCTTACTTTTGGGTGTTACGCAACTGCAAAACTAGCAGCCAAAAACACCCAGAGCACATATGTGGTCTGGTGAGGAGCTCAACAGAAGTCGCTCTGGTCCAGCTGCTCTCGTTCGGGCGCCTGTTCCTGTTTCCAAATATTTGCGTCTAGACCAGAAGTACAAACTCTGCAACCTGACGGGGGTGGGGGGGTCCTAACTTCTATTAAGTCCTGATTAAACAAAATCATATGACCCGTTTTTTGTGTCCTGACATCACATCCTCTCCGTCATGTCAACTCTCTAATTTCTTAAGAATGCAATAACAAGGGAGGATATTGGAACGACTCACGGACGGTGCAGTTTTCTCCGCTGTAGCCGGTACGCGTGCAGTCACACTCGTACTTGTCCTCACCATACCGAACACACGCACCCCAGTGCTGGCAGGGCAAATAACAGCACGGGTTCACTGTGGGGAACAACACAAAGGAGGCCGTGCTACTTCAGATCACAAATCACATCACATTACATGTCATTTAGCTGACGCTTTTATCCAAAGCGACTTAAATCACACACAACATCTGTCTTAGCACAAAACTTGGCCAGACAGGAAACCTCAAGTTTGAGATGTGGACCCACTTTTATCAATGTGATAAACAACTGCTGTCAAAGTGATGTAATGAACTCTTGACTGCGGGACTTGTTTTCACGAAATGTGCCAAACATGTTCAGTGTCTTGAATGAAGAGAGTAGTTCAGCTGCAAAGACCACCAACGTCATAGCTGGAAAGCTTCCTCATTATATCTTATGAGGTTCATGGACTTGCTCTGTTTAGTTACTGGTATTAAGCGTATTCATCTTTTTATAACGGAAGGTTAATAAGAGACATTTTGAAAAAAGACGTGAGACATTAAATCCTGCGTGAACACACACGCATTCCTTCCTCCTAAAACACACACACGGGTTCCAACACGTTCATAGAAGTAGTTCAAGGTGTAGTCTTACAGATATGTGAACTGTGTAATAATTGATAACACGCACAGGATAAGCCCGAGCTTCCTGCATCAAATCCAAATACACATGCAAAAACATGTCCTCTGTCGTCTCCCAACCAGAAAGCCACCGATCGGCGACGGATTCTGACCGTTATGTAAACTACGCAAACGTTATCCAAACGCCCAGCGGTTCAACTCTCACACGCTGGGAGGAAACCCGAGGAATGACACCACTTGGCGCTTTATAAAGGCAAGGAAACGCATGAAAAGAAAGAGGAGGTGAAACTTTTTGTTCACCTGTGTGAGAGCGGGGGAGTGGGCAGGGGGGGAGGGGGTTGCCCTTACAGGTCAGGCTACATGTATGGCCACAGGTCGGGCAGGAAAAGTCTGCCTGGGGGCTTCGCTGGCTGAGAATTTCATTCATCCGCGAATTAGATTATTATATTTTAACTCTTGAAATGAAGGAAAAACAATACAGAAATCTCCTTTTGTCAGAATGAATGGAATGACCTCACTGCATTGGCCCAATCCACAATCAGGCCTCCGTAGTCTTTCCCTATTAAAATCAACATGAGAGGGAAACCTGATGCATGAAGTATGAATCATGATTTTGGGGAGTTAGTGTCCCTTGATGAATGAGCTGATGAATCGTGTTATTGTTCTAGGTGGACTTGCCAGAGCCTGCCTTTGTTTTTTGGGGAATGTCTGTGATCCGCTAATGGCAGCTTCACCATTCAAGAGGAACTACTGGAAAAACCTCGGGGGCACTTTTCCTACAAGTCACCCGTTGAACTTTTGAGGGCAGATATTTACTGTATAACGGATAAATAGACACGTTGGAATCTCACCTACCTGTGTCTGAGGTAACTTCATCCCCCCGGCACGCAGGCAACAGCAAGAGCAGACCACACACTGATCCTAGGACAGAGACTTCAACAACACTTCCACATCAGCTCCTTTTATACTTGTCCTTCAGTAAGAGAAAACTAAGCCAAAAAAAAAAAAGCCAGAATCGAACCAGAACCACGAGCGACGGAGTACCGGGCGCGTACTTACATCTCATCACAGCAGCTTCGGTTCAGGAGGATGTCATGCCAAACTGCCGGAGAAGTGGGAGAAAAGTGTTACGGTCCAGGAGATGAGGGGGAGGGGGAGGAGGAGGAGGAGGGGCGCAGGTTACCTTCTTTCTGTGAGTCGTTCACCTGGGGAGAGGCACGGAGACTGAACGCGGTGCGCCTTTACGCGTCCTGGTCGCCGCCTGTCGGCTCCGCGGCGCATCGCTCCGCACTGCGCGGAATGTCTCCTCCCCCCTCGCGCTACTCCCGTTTCATTATCAGTGTTCACATGGCAGTTAGATTTAGGAGGAAACACTTGGATGTGATGAAAGAAAAGCATCAGAGTTTTTTCTTTTTCTTTGGGGTTCACAACAGGACGGCGCACACGGAGAGAAATAATAAAAGTTCATCCTTAGAATGCGTTGCATCCCAAAATATTCAACGCACTGGGGCTTCTTAACGCATTGTATGCGCATTCAAATGGGAGGTGCAGGGGGTCGAGTTACGTCGTTCCTCGTGTCGGTGTTTCTGGCTCGTTGGTTTCTTTGGCAACGACGCTGAGCTGCACACGGAGGCGCTGACGTCTGCGTGGAATGTTTCACTCCACATGGAAGACACCGCATCTGACAGAGAGCAGGAACAGCGCCGGTAAAGGGTCAAAAGGTCAAAGTAGAGGAGATGTGTCAGGACGGCGTGGATGGGAAGATCTTGCAATGATTTCCCACAGGTGGTGTTTTTTTTGCAGCTGGGATTCGGACAGTTGTGTTGGAGAAACATTGCTTCTGGTAAACCTTTGCACTCGTGGAAGCCAGACGCTCCTTCTGCAGCATGAGGTTGCAGAAGTTGGGACGCTCCCGATCCAACAGATGAAGGCACATTTGATGTTGACATTGTAGAGGCCGGTGGGGGGAAAAACCCCACGGCTCGGATATTCCTCGAAGGCGTTAAACATAAGTTTTTTGCATGCTGCTTTACTGTAACCTGCTGCAGCATTTCAAACTGTTCCACCACATTTGGCCCCTGAAGGTCTCTTCACCACGGTGGTCTCCTCTGACGTCGTCCAGCTGCTCGCCATAAAGCACCAATCTTTGTTTGAGATTTGTAAATCTCAGTATTGCTTGGGATAAATATTTAGACCAATTCCGTTGACGAGGGTTGGGAACTGGTGCTTTGCCATGAGAGCTTTTCTTCCAGCAGCTCCAGTGAAGCAGGGAGGGTGACTGGCGTTCAAAGCGTAGAAACATTTAACCTGCGGCCCGTTGGGTAGATGGTATTTACAGGATTTTGATCAAGAAGCTGAACTCTCATCTCCAGTGTGCGAGCAACGCGTTTGGTCAGAGTTCTGTGCTCAGTTTAAGAAGAGCGGCAGCTATGTGCACATCAACATTTTCCTCTAATCACTTTTGGCAAGAATTCCCCCCTCAAAAGATTTAGATAAGATTGCATCATGGGTTTATTTTAGCAACCATTTAAACAATTAATCTAGCTACATTATGGATGAGTGGTTACCCAGCGATCTCACTGCAAAACCACCAACACTAAAACAATAGTTCGCATTTCTGGAAACACATTTATTTCAGGTTTGTTTTAGATTTTACAAAATTACTTTTTCCTAGATATGCACAAATGAACTGAGGGGGAATCCAGTATTAACTCCCCGTGTCGCTTGCACTGGACAACGAAGCTTATAGACCAAGAGAAAAGACGGAAACCCCGGTTTAACATCACATTTATTCAAAACAAAATGTGTATTTAGGATGAGCTGGAGGCGGCCACTGCTGCACGTTTGGGTTTGGGGGTTGTTCCTTCCCTGAAACCATTCCTGAGACACAACACAGAAAAAGGGGTTTAGGCAGGAAATTACGATTCGAGCAGTGATCCAAAACATTTGCAAATAGTTCTATGCCCCATAGTTTACCACGGAATGCTGGGAAGTCACAGATTGGTCTGTGAACTAGCGAGGTAACTAGCTAAAACAATCACAGCTGTAGAGAGAATTCATCTTAAACCAAATATTTAGATCTTGATTTGTTTGAAAGACGAATTTGTCTGTGGCACGAATGATAAACAAAGGCTACGTCCGTGCCATTTCTTAACCAACTGGTCACGAACAACAACCAGGAGTCCAATTTACAGAGATGTGTCATCTAATCTCATTAAATATACTGTTGACAGATCTAACAAACTGCTCATTTCCAGCAAGTCGGGTCAGTTACCAACAAACGGATCCTGAACTTAAGGCTACATGAAGCCACATCTTCATGTGGTTCGACTGGAGTCTTTGTTACAATAGTGACCCTTTAGCACAACAGGCAACTTAAATAGAGCTACACTCAGATGTTAATTCTCATGTACCTGATCTATCAAGACAATAAAGCTTACCTCAGAGAAAATGTTGATATCATATAGAAATCATTTGTTCAGACATTTATTTTTCAGCATCATTGGTAAGCATCATTGAAGAGTCCTGAAATATAACTTCATAATATAGGTTCTTGATTATATTGTTCGGGCATTTTATAAACACCTGTTTAACGTTTCAGTCAAAGTCCTTTCCTTTTTGCAGATAAATATCTAATTAAGGGATGTTGTTTATATTGCAAGAGGGAATTTGTCAACACACCAAAAGCAGATCCAATGTTTGTAGTTGATAAACCAAACACGTGTGCTTACTGCATCTAACGGTTTGACCTGAAGCAAACAATCTCACTGTGGTCTTTGGCAGTATTACTTACAAATGAGTCTTTGCACCAACACATAGCTTTCTGCATACAGCAGTCACATCTAGAAACACTTGATCTCAAGTACACAAGCGCCAAAGGTCTCACCTGAACCTGCGGTAGACGACCTTCAGGTGTCTCAGACGACCGGTTCCAGTTGTGTTCCTCCTCTTGGCCTTAGCGCTCCAGTTGTCTACAAAAACAACACAGCATGAATCAAAAGTGTGACAAGACACCCGCAACTAACAACTCTTAATGACTCGTACTGCAGGTGTTTAACCAGCACACGTGAAGGGAATGTTGAGTGTTTGGTGCCTCACACTTTCTCTTGCGCTTCTGGGGGTAACCACACTTGCCACAGGAGGACTTCTGCAGATGGTAAGCCTTGGCACCGCAACGACGGCACAGGGTGTGCGTCTTGTTCCGGCGCTTACCGAAGGAGGATGTTCCCTTGGTCTGAGGAATGAGAATACAAGAGAAAAGGGGAGTTTATAGGAGGAGATTCCCCGGATGCGTTACTTCTTCCACGGGGTCAAGGGTCCGGCGGTCTTGTCTCAGTAAACAAAGATGAAATCACTGGAAATCATACGTTCAGACATTTGTTTTTTGAGAACATCACTGACAAGACTCGGCACGCGACTTCCGACACTTGATGTTGGCTACTGGTAACCCAATAGTCATTACAAAAAGACCGCATTGATTCGAAGACCCCGAAATCAGACATATAGACCACATACCCGTGTGCGGCTGCATTAAAGAGTCGGCGCGGTGGCAGCGTTGCATCGACAGCAGAAGCACATTTAGAGGCGGACGAAGCGGCTAGCTAGCAATGCTAACCACTATGGAAGAGCTAGCCAGTAAGCACAGCTAGCCGGCTACATTTACACGACGGATGAAAAAAGCAATTCATTCTTCAACCAATTCCCCCGGGTATGACAGAAGATCATCTACGTTACATACACGTTACGTGGTCCTTTCACGGCAAACGCGGGCCCATTCTGTGCCCTGAATCTCAATGCTACGAGCAGCAAACAAACGCTGGCTCGATGCAACAAGAACATCAATAATCGCATTAAAACAAAGCTTCATCTCAAAAATACTTCACCCGAACGCTTACGACGTTTATTCGAAGAACTAAAATCAGCTAATCGCGTCAGATAAGCGACTCGATTCACAGATGTTAAGAGATTTCTGTCTGCCAACGTTCCAACGTACCATCTTCGTCCGGCGGCTAAGGGAAAAGAGACCGGAAGAGCGTCCCGCGACGCATAAAATCACATCCGTGCTGCTTCCTGTGTAACACCGAAATGTGACCCCGTGTAGCGCTTAGCTAATATGCTAATATGTTTAGTGTTAATTTAATTTCCCTCACTGTATATATAATTAACGTATTTTATGCAGCATTTTGACAGTGCAACCCGATGTAATGATAACGACGTATGTTATGCAGCATTTTGACAGCGCAAACCGATGTAATTATAACAACCAGGAGATTATTCATGATGATTTTGTTGCTTGTGGGGCAGGAAAAAAACACAGTAAACCGTAATTTAATCTGTAACCCATGCAATGATAAGGGTCAAGCAGTGGTACAATGAATGAGGGTAAAAAGATTGTTAGGTGGATTTGTGTTTGTAGATAAGGCTGCAGATCCCACAATATCATCCAATCTTTTTTTCAAGATATGACATTAGGCTATAGTTTTAAAACTATAACAAAAACATTAAGGCAATGATGTTGGAAAAATGATTGAACACAAAGTAGACTAGCTATATGTGTCATGTCTTGTGCTAGTTAAGTTGTTGTTATCATAACGGGGGTCGTACTTTGTGCCTACAGTACAGTTTAGAACATATCCATGGATATGTTCTAAACTCATAATGGCAATTTAAACTCAAAGACAAGAACTGTGGGTAGCTGGTGGAAATGAGCATTGCTCTGCTTTACCCGGAGCAGCTTTTTGGTGCGTGTCCAACCAGGAGGAGCTCTAGGGCCAGAACCCGCTGGAGGGATATGCGATCTGGTCTGGGAGGGCTGCAGGCCCTCAGGGCCACGGCCAAGAGAACAATGAGATCAGGAGATCTGTGTTTCTTTGCTTAGAATGCCTGCTTTTTGTGTGTTTCCGTCTTATAGATGGTTCAGGGATTTACTTAAAGTAACGCTACAAAAATTCCGTCAGTAAAAGTATTGTCAAACACGCATCTCTGTCAATACTTGAAATGCAGAGGAGACAGGACACTGCTGTGGGTTCAGACCGACTAAATGTTGCTGTTCATGTTTTAGATCGTCATCCGCCCTAGAGAGACATAATTCAGATATAGTGCAGGGCGGGACATTGTGCGTCAGTCGCTTTGGCATGGACTGCAATGCACAAAAGGAAGAAAGAATAAACGTTTTCAACAGCATCGGCTCTGAAGAAATGATGATGAACTGCTATTTAAGATGACGTAATCTACAGTTCAGAGCTGATACAGTTCTCCCAGCCAGGGCGGGGTGGGGGGCAGTTTCATTTAAACAGGCTATTTTGAGATCACAGGTGCACCCCTGAAAAGGAGACCACGGCCGTGACCTTGTGTTTTTGGCGACGCGCACCCTGCCCCCCCCCCCCGCCGCCCGGCCGAGAAACGGCGCATCCTCCCCCGCTAACGTTTCAGTCACGCAGTCTCTCTGCTCAGATTTGAGGATGTGAGTGTTTGCATTTCCCGTCACAGCGATGCACAGCGCGTTTACTGGTGTAACATCTGCGCATCCGCTCCAGACAAAGTAAACCCCGGTGCGGCGCATCGTTTTTTTGAGGGGTGTGTGTGTGTAAGGGGGGGGTGATCTGCATTGCTCGCACCTCGTCGAGGAGGAGAGGCAGCGCGGCGCACGATACCAGACCAGCAAATCAACACCTTTCCCGCGGGGGGGGAAAAAAATTCCTCCACATCTAACCAGCTACTTTTCGTCGCGATGCGCGTCGTCGTCCAACGGCGCAGCGCAGCGAAATAGAAAGGCGATGGACGAAGGGCTGTCCGGCGGGCACGCGACCCCGGTCCCGAATGCAGCGGAGAGAGACACCTAACTGGGTGTCACCGTCGGCCCCGGATGCTGCGCCGAAGGATGGGATACGCCGACCCGTCGTCGGGTAAAGACATACTCGGCAATAGATCGCTTTGCTTTATGTTCCTTTGCGCGTTCGGACTGGTGACGCTGCTGCAGCAGATTCTCTACGGGAAGAACTACATCAAGAGGTGAGTGCCGATCGTCATGTCGGCCTTTTTGCTGTTTGCAACAAGAGTTGCGCACGCTGTGACGGTTCAGCTTAAAAATGAATACAGTGATAAATGAAGCATGCCGGTGTTCACTAATGATACGCGTGAGACACCAATGCCCAGGTATGGAATGGTGAAGAATATGGTAGTATGATACATGTAGTCTGGATGGGTCGCATGGGGAAAACAAGCTTTCATGGCTGAAAACAACAACAACAACAACAACAGCAATTAACCATCCATCTTATTTTCCAGTGGCATAGAAACAGTTTCCATTGGATTTACTTTTTTTGATATTTTCTGAAAGTGAAGCATCACATTCACACCATACACAGTGTTCCGGCTGTGTATGGTAAGGTTTTCCCTTTCTTTTGTACCCCCCCCCCCCCCCCCCAAATATCCTTATTTGATTTTCTGTTTCAGCCTTCTCGACTGGTCGTAGCCTACATCTTACAGAGGCATCAGATTATCACAACGACACTATAGAGATGATGTGTATTTCTTATTGGTCCCTGCTAAATAAATCATTTCACCAGGTTGCATCCAGCTCACACTCGGCCACTGCAGAGACGTGTTTTATAATTCCTCTCCCTCATACGGGTGGTCCCCTCTGGCGCCCCTCTTTAAAGACAGCCCCCCCCCCCCCCTTTGCTTCACATTGTCAGACAAATTTCCGTGTGAGACGAGCAGATGCAGAGAAGCCAGGATGTTTTATCTTCAGGTGGTCACACCCACCCCCCCCCCTCCAAAAAAACACCCCGCAAAGAAAGTTAAATCTCACTCCAACAATCTAAAAAAAAAACGTCCCCCCTCCACTTCCAGATAATTTAGCACATATATGATAACTTCAAAGCAAACATACATGTGCTTCAATCTGAAAGCTCCCCACAGCTGCTGACCCCTCCACTGCCCCCCCCACCCCCCGCTGGGCTGGTGTGACCATACGTACTGTGGATTCATGCATCTGCACCTCTGCGGTGAGATGCATGAATTCAGATCCGGCACACACACACACACACACACACAACACACACACACACACACACACTCTCCTTCGCCTGAGAAAAAGGGGTGTGGGGGGGGGGGCAGGCTAACAGTAGGCAGCGGGCCCATGCAGCGGCAGCCATTTTGCTACAGTCTGTTTGCACCCGCACCTCAAGCGCAAGTGGGGGAGAGAGGGGGGAGGAGACGGCGAGAGTGAAAGAGAGGCCGTGATGTCTGCCTGTGCGTGCGTGCGTGTGCGTGTGCGTGTGCGTGTGCGTGTGTGTGTGTGTGTGTGTGTGTGTGTGCGATGCAGAGAGGTGCTGGTGGTGGAGACGTCATCCTATGACATCTTTTCAAGCGTAAACAAGCAGAGGCTGTTACCATGGGGGGAGAGGGGAGGGGGGGGGGGGTCGACCACGCCCGGCCTCCATATACCTGCTGAGCCCCGAGCGTGAGAGAACGCGGTGGCAGCGTGTACATCAACAGCAGCTGGCTTTGTGCGTGCGTCCATCCCTCATGAGGGACGGAGGAATCTTAAGAGGTCGTCCGTTAGAGTCAAACCCAGTCAGCAACGTCGCCGCACTCGATTCCTCTGGACATCGCCCACCCCCCCCCCCCCCCCCCCCCACCCGCACGCCTCCAGTCACGTTAAACAGAGGATGAGCATGATTGTGAAATGGCCATCGCTGATTCAAGAGGCCTATTCAAGGGATCACAGCTAGAGACCCACTTCCGTAAATCAGGACATCTTAGCTTTTAACTCTGCGCGAGGCGAAGAGGGCGACGTCTAAAAATACTCTCGGCGGTGTAAAGAATAGCGACAAACGAGCCCGAGGCTCCAGCGGTTTGATTAGCAACCATCTAGAAAATTAGCGGCTTTGTCCATAGAACTGATTTCATCGTCGTTAATCTGGAGATCATTTTATATCATCAGGAAAGAAAGTAAAACAATAATATAATATATAATATAATAAGCTAATTCTTGCTTGAATAAATTGACTGTCAAAGTGACATATTTATATTATCAGCTTTACAATAAATCTTTTTTTTGGACGGCTCATGAGCCTTTCCTGATGTATAATGTATTTGGATTAACAGCGCATAAAACCGCTTGTTTATTATTCATAAGACAAAGCACTTACACTAATTACCAGAGTAGTTCCCTGTTAAAAGGTAAGACCGAAAAGACAATTACCCACTTATTATTTATTTACTTATTACTTATTAACACATTCTCTCATACTTATAATGCAGTAAGAAAACTAGACAATCTCACGTCTGTTTTTTCTTTTAATACAATTGTTACCTTTCGTATATTGATGCAGACAACTGTGCCCCTTTTAGGAAGATTCCTACGGTCGTTACAGGAAACCGCTCTGAAAAATCAATGCCCAGACCTTCCCCAGAAAACCACCCGAGTCCCAAAATCCAATAAGTACAAAAGTCCTCCCTGCTTTAAGTCCCGTTAAAGGCGCTCAGGGGCAGAATCAGAGCACATTAGTGCCGCAGAGCTTGTTGTTTGTCTAAACTGATGTTTATATTACCGTCTCTCAGTGCTCCTAACTGAGTCACTAGGAGATGAATGGACCCTCAATGTTTGACTTGAAGACCACGTATTGACCTTTGAGTCACTGGGAGCCACGTGAGATTCGTTGGGGGTTTTATCTGTCGCCACACATTTGGACCATATCCAATAACACATATGTTCATTGTTCATATGATCAGGGCAAGCTTTCAGGTTTGCTCAGCAAACGGGTAAAAAGGGGGTTACTGAGGCCTCGGATGCTCCTGCGTGAGCATTTACACGAGTGCCCGACAATGAATACTTGATCACATAATGCACCCAGAACGGCTCTTCAGCTTCAATTTCCCTGCTGAATTTAGCACACCACCCACAGAGGACTCACAGATTAGTCACACATGAATATTTGCGTAACGGGAGGAGTTTCACACCCACTGATGTCTGGATGGACTGTGACTCGTGTCTGCACGATGCAACGTCTCTTAACCTTTATTATGTTGGGATAAGTTTCTTAAAAGATACTTTCGGTCAACAAAAAACTCATGTTTGGGTCCCACTATCCGGGAAATAAAGATTTGGACTATGAACTAACTGATGCCCCTCACATCTCTGAAATGATGTGAGGTACGAACCACCTGCACCAAATGGCCTCCTTTGGATAATTCGCCACGATGGTTTTAGTGGAGATGAATCCAGCAGAGGCGAAGATGAGGCCACGTTTCAGATGACGCAGCCAGTAGCTTCTTCTCATTAGACACAGACGGGCTTTTGTTGAAACCTGTTTGGTCTTCAAATCCAAGTTGAGATGCTCCCTTAAGACACCGCCTTTGAAGAAATATCTGGCTGAAAATACGCTCCAAACCATCAAAATCTCCTCCTCCTCCGCAGAGTTGGCAAAATCCGTAGTGGCAGTAAAGGTAGTCGTCTAACAGTCCTGCAGGCCAATATTCCAGGGTGTGGGTGTTAAATCACACACAGGATGGCGGCTGCACAGCTGAGCATAAAGGAACCATTCAAACCATGATGTCATCAACCGAGAGTTCATTCTTCCCATTAATGATGTCATACTTTGACTTGTGTTTTTCTTGAGCCAGAAAGCTGCTGCCCCATAATGTATATGTGTGTGTGTGTGTGTGTGAATGTGCACATTGGAGTTGGGGCTTGGCTGTATGTGTTTTGACTTTCTGCACATTAAGGACAATACAATCACAAATAAACTGATTCATTTTCTTGCTAGTGCGCAACAGTTTAGCCGACTCAAAGGGGACGAGACAGGAAATTGGACCGGTCCCGTTAATTTCTCGGATGACGGATCTCTGAAGCCTGCCAGAAATGGAAGGAAAAGGTACCTTTCCAGCGTGACCTTCTGCACAACACCTCTGAGAAAAGAGAGTGTAAGAGAGAGAAAGAGAGAGAGTGTGAGAGAGAGAAAGAGAGAGAAAGCACAAGTTTGAAATACATCATGTAGTGACGACCCAGCCCTGCATGCGTGGACTGGGCCGCTGTGACGTGTACAGCAGTCTGCTCAGATATTTGAGAGAGAATAACAGCTGCAGCACACTGTACACTTTTCTTGCTCTACTTGTTTTGCAATCTGCAGGTGTAGGAAGTGAGCAGGGGGGTGCTGATGTCGCAGGACTACAAAAACAGATTTAACTCTAACTTAACCTGTCTGCATGTTGACAGATGTTTCCGTCAGAATTTTCAGCCAGATTCACAGATCTCCGTAATAGTCACACCCTGCCTAGCCGATATTAAGAAGAAAAAAAAAAGGTAGGACAGTTTGAAGGCATTTTTAGTACTTTCACAGAAACCCAAGAATGCCTCTTTTTTTTTCATTACTCTGAAAGGTATAAACTCTCATATTTTTTTCAGTGGTGGTTGCACTTCAGATTTGCTCTTGCATGTTGTCTGATCCCGTCCACCTCGACCCCCCAGATCCCCCCCCCCCCCCCCTCCCACCTCCCACTCCCCCTCCCACCAGAAGCCGGTTAAACCACGGTCTCCTGTCGCTGTGCTGGCTTCTCCTCGTACGTCATGTGTCCCATCCAGCACCCATCTCCGAATGCCTTGTCCTCCTCGATCTGTGTCTCATGTGTCCTGCACAGCTCTGTGTGTGTATGCCATATACAGTGTGGACACTTCTCTCTGCTACACCCCCCTACCCCCCCCCCCCTTCTCACATCTGCATTGTCTCTCTCTGCGACCTGGATTTACCCCCCGTTTCAACTTTTTCTTGTTACAATAAGACAGAAAGGTGCCAGTCCCCCCCCCCCCCCCCAATAAAAGAAACCTCCAGTAGATAGTATCCGTGGTAAAATGCTGGTCTTTCTCATCCTGCATTGGTTTGGAGACAGCATTGTACGACTAAACCCACGAGGTGAAATTCATCTCGCCAAGTGAATTGCTGTCCTGCTCTTAGAACCGAGCAGAGAACAGGTTTCATCATCGTAGCTAAAACACGCATGCATGTAGAAAAAGAAAACCCGATGCTCCTTTCAGTTAAACCTCAGAAATACATCATCAGGTGGATGTAGACAACCAGTTTCATCGTTCCTTCTGACTTCACCCGAGCATCTTGTTCCTTTAATGCATCTCTCCATCGTATGGCTCGTTGTGTTCATCTATGATTATTATTATTAGTTGTTTTGTTTTAGTTCTTAACACACCTTGTTTGCTTCCACAGCCCAACGTTAATATTCTGCAATATTATTCATCTTCCAAAACACCTCATTCCAGCGTATCTATCTAAACACAAACTTGCAATTGGTGTTATTTTAGCATCAACATTATAAATGTAAATTGGAAAAATATATTACGACATTTAGAGCTTTTCAAGATTCAGATACTAAATGTAGATATTGTTAACTTTTAAAAGATTGGTTAACGACTCGGCTGTTCGCCGAGAGCGATGAAGAAATCCTCTGGGAGTGAGACTCTTTCCAGTTTGGACCAAAATCATTTGGCTAAAATACTCTATGTACGCCTCGCATATTTAGTGCCTGTTTATGGCCTCGTGCTTGTGCAGCAGATCGTCAAAACAATATTGTATCTGCGTGCAATTTGAAAACCATTTCAAAAGGTTGTTTCAAGGCAAAGTCATATTCAGAGGCGCTCATTTTATTCCTACTAATTTAAAACCATTTTCTCTGCTGTCTTTGGATTTAACGTGATAGGTGTTATTACCACAAACAGTAAAAAAAGAAATGGATGTACTCAAAATCTATAAGGCACACCAATCAGCATTAAAGCAGGGCCATGTGACCTGGATTTGTTTATCTGTGACATAAAATTAAAAATATATTAAAAAAAGAATATAATGTTACAGTAGCAAAACCGACTGAAACGTTTCGGAATTTGGTATGAAAAACACAGTCACTATTCCAAACCAAAGAACCTTATTTAATTTGGTTCATGTTGAAATTTCAATATAATAATTATTTTACATATTTTAAAAATACTTGAAAAAATTGAAAATATTAATTTCCCCAAATCTTACTGGTTACTGGCAAATAATATTACATTTGGGCCTTTGTTATATATATATATAACTAATCCACCCTTTAACTCATATTTCCCCTTTCAGGGCATAGTCTGTCACTCTATCTAAATTGAATATATACATGCACAGCATTTCTACACATTTTAATTACAGGATGCATTAAACCATGCAAGTTTTCATCATAACCAATTAATAAATAAGCAAAAATATGAGAGTCTTTTTTTCAGTTAGTGGATCACGTTGGTTTAAACTGTAATAGAATCTGGTGCAAGTGTCCAGTGAACCACTTCTCTCATTTGTCATCCCATAACGCCACACTGATGTTCCAGTATTTCATTAAGACATTTTCCAGTAAATATAAGCTATTTATTATTATATACTTTTATTGTGCTATTTCAACACCCTGTTTTAAAGACTTTTTTATTGCATTGCATCTCCACAGTTTAAAAATGCTAAATGATTGTGTTGAGTCTGGTGTGTGTGTGTGTGTGTGTGGAGAGGTTAAGGCCGAGGATGACTGTGTCTTTCCCTCCAGGTACCTCGAAAACTACGATGGCTCATATGAATACAACTCCACTGCATGCAGGGAGCTCAGGCAGGAGATTATGGACGTCAAAGTCCTGACAATGTGAGTGGTCGCTATGGCGACGCGAGGTGGACTACCTCATTTACAATGACATGTTCTTTCCCCCACTGGACCGATCACCCACTGCAATCCCCCCCAGCATCCATGTTATTGCCAATATTTTCACAGCGTCAACTCTTAAGTAACGCATTATGACGTTATGGGAGTAAACAAGCGGCCAGATGCATCACACCCCCCTCAATGGAGCAGGGGGGGGCGGGGGGGGGTGATGCATGCCTCAACTTTCCTCCTGGATAAATGGGGACAACCGTGTCCCTCGGGGGTCGCCAAGACGTAATTCCAGACTGTTTTGCCACGCGAGTTCAGAGGGCCAGCAGCCCCCACTCAGTCACAGTAAACGGTGCCACGCCCCCCCCCCCCCGCCCGCCCGCCCCCGAGCAAATCACATGACAAGGGGACACGAGTTGGCTCAAGGACAGCTGTTCACAGGGGTTTTAAGGGAAGAGCTCACCCAAGGGGTATGTGGCACCAGTAGAGTCAACACAGAATGAAACCTGCAATTCTTCTGTCCCTCCCTCCCTCCCTCCCTCCCCCCATCCCCCATTTGTCTTTTCAAGACGTTTTTTTTTATGCTGCTTCTTCAATTTACTACTCTTATAGAAACTTTAATCGGAAAATACATGGCCACGGATATCCTTCCTCATTCCACAAGTCTCTCTGCCTGTCTGCCAGGGTAAAAACCTCCGACCTGTTTGAGAGATGGCGGAACCTGCAGGTGTGTAGATGGGAGCAGAACAAGGAGGAGACCAGCAACTTCAAGTATGCATCACTCACACTCGCAATTTCTCTAAACTCCCCCTCATTGTCTCTGTCTTTTTTGTTGTTGTTGTTTTGAACCGCAAGAGATCGTATTTTACATCAATGTGTCTCTTTAAAATATGTCCGTGAGATGGTGGTGAAAACCCACAGCTTTACAGCTGGAGTCTTGGAATGTACAGTATATCCTGTTTGTATAAAATTGGGATATTTACATTTCTGTTGATGGATTTTCATTTTTAAAAGTTTGTTCATAAGAGTTGAAACAATGATTTAGAATACTGCAGTTACACTGCGTCAGAGGGCATCAAACTGTACAGACCTTCCTCTGCAAATGACTAACAAATATACGCATGTGCACATGTCATGAACTGCCATTTAAGATATTAAACATGAAATGTGTTTATTTAATGTAGTAATCATGCTTTATGATCATTCTCTGTTCTTTGTCACCTACGTCAAATGTGAAATCCCAGTTTGCGGCAAAGAGACGAGTCACTGCTTCACTTTATAACATATTCGCTTTTGTTACTATCGGAAGAAAAAAACTTGAAGCCTACAAAAGATTTAGCAATTACTATTTGTACATATACAACAGCAGGGTCATGGGACCCCAAACAATGAGGAGGTAAAGCCAATACCAACACCACACAAGGGCCAAGCGAGTTTTGCTCGTGATTCTGCTGTGAAAGTCTTTCCCCAGTAAACTAATTCCCTCCTCTCTCTGGTGTCCTCCTGAAGGATGTCTCTGACTCGCTGCTGTAACGCTCCTTCCTTTCTGTTCACCACCAAGAAGAACACGCCTGCAGGGACCAAACTGAGGTACGAGGTGGATACCAGCGGTATCCTTCCCATCACCACGGAGGTCTTCAAGATGTTTCCAGATGTGAGTGCGGCGCCTCTCCCTCCGCGTTGTCCACCGTCGGTGCAAATCAATCTGAATTGAACACATTGTCTGTTTCGTCCAGGATATGCCGTATTCCAAATCGCAGTACAAGAAATGTGCAGTCGTCGGCAACGGCGGCATCATCAAGAGCACCAAATGTGGAAAGGAAATCGACTCGGCAGACTTTGTGTTTAGGTATAAAGGATGAAAACCTTCAGTGTTCTGTCACTGCTTTCCACAACTCAAGAGAGCGGCCCGTCACACAAACCCTGTTAGATTACCCATGAGCCTTTGCTGGTGGTACAGCGCTTGTGGTCTGCGATTTACTGTATTAGTTACCTGACAAGCTTTATACTTTTGCACAATATATTATATTTCCAGTGGTAACGGCACACTTACCTCATGAAAATCTGCTATTTTTAGCTGAGGAAGCTGCCGTTCGCTTTGTGTGTCGGATAGAAATTCTGCAGCCGAGGCTGAATTAACCCGACTTATATTTTACTACAACTTCAGCCGCCCAAAGTTTTGACAGGGCCTGTTTGCTAAGAAGCTACGATCGGAGGATTGCTGTTTAGCAAACATTCAGTCAAGTTTGTTTCACTGTAGAAGTCCAACTCCTGCTCACAACTATATGATTAATAGTGCTTTGCAACAGTTACTGTCAAATCACAATACATTTCATTTAATTTAAGCTCCTCGTGCTTCCTTCTCTGCAGGTGCAACATCCCCCCCATCAACGACAAGTACTCAGCTGATGTCGGCACTAAAACCGATCTGGTGACAATTAACCCGAGCATTATTACGGAGAGGTACTGTAAATATAGGTCTGATCGAGAAATCAAGCCTGTCCCTCCCTCTCTCTCTCTCTCTCTCTCTCCATCAGTCCTTCTCTTTTGGCTTTTGCTATCTCACATTTTGCCCCCCCCCCCCTCCCGTCTGCAGATTTCAGAAGCTGGAGAAATGGCGGCGACCCTTTTACGAAGTCCTCCAGAAATACGAGAACTCGTCGGTGGTGCTCCCCGCCTTCTACAACACCCGCAACACCGACGTGTCGTTCAGGGTCAAGTACATGCTGGACGACTTTGACTCCCAGCGGGGGGTCTTCTTCTTCCACCCGCAGTACCTGCTCAACGTGCAGCGCTTCTGGGCGGTGCAGGGCGTCCGGGCCAAGCGGGTCAGCAGCGGCCTGATGCTCGTGACCGCCGCCCTGGAGATGTGCGAGGAGGTCCACCTCTACGGCTTCTGGGCGTTTCCCATGAACCCCTCGGGGATTTACATCACCCACCATTACTACGACAACGTCAAGCCGCGGCCGGGCTTCCACGCCATGCCCCACGAGATCTTCAACTTCATCCACATGCACACCCGCGGGATCGTCAACGTACACACGGGGCAGTGCACGTGATCGGCCGCGCTCCTCCCGCCTCGCCGGCGGTTCCGCCGCTCGGTTTTCAACCGGGTCGTGTTTTATTTCACGTCATCGAGACACTTCACTCCAAAAAGAGAGAGAGAGAGAGTTGGCGCTCGGAGCGCTCACTTCTCTGCCCTCACGTGTTCCGCGACACACTGCCAACGCACTCCTCTCTCAAGCTGTGTACTTAACCAATCAAATCGCTCCGATTACCTGCGACTCTCTACCTGTAGAATGCTTGTTTTTAATGTGAAACGTGGTCTTCATATCGATGTCGTTTCTGTGAGGTTTTCTAGTGGCTCTGCTGTACCCAGGTGTTGTTTTCTACTCGACGTTGCACAGGTATTCACGCTGAAATGGGCCGCAGTGGGTGTCTCCGAGCCCCCAGCATCCCCCCCCCCCCCCCCCGTCTTTTCTCTCCACCGTGGGCACTCCGGAGGTGGGGCAGCTTGGTGTGAAACAAAACCCGGGGCCTAGTTTTAAGCTAATATTTGGAAAAAGATGAAAAGGAAATGTGAAATTCCAACATCCAATTGTGTACTTTTGTAATCTTTCCTAATCGCCAGATTCACTGGGTGAATATTTTAAAAAACGCCACTGGGACGGCCTGTTTTCAGCGCCCAGTTCAACGACTTCCTCGGATTCCGAGCCGACGTTTCTTCTCGTTTTCCTTTTCTTTTTTTTTTTTGGGACAAAAAAGCGAAACGAATATTTCAAAGCGAGGCCACGCGAGGAGAACTCGACGCCGTCCAATGTGTAGAGTAACGCTGTGCTCACTGCGCTGTTCAGCGACCCCCCCCCCCCGACCCTCGTTGTCATTCATGTCTTAAGCCACGCTGCCTTATGAGATGTCGAGCCCCTCCACATGTTATGCAACGCGACCACGTGTTTTGCTCATCTTGTAAAAACAGGATCATCAAAAGTAAACCGTAGTTTCATTCTTGAATCGAAGCACATTCATGACTCTTAAGGTACAGACGTCCATGCGCGGTTCTCCACTTATATTCTATTGGAATTAGTCTTACCCACTGTAGACATTCATTACCACGTAACGCTCTGCATGACTTTACTGTGTACTTGGCTTTGTGTGTGCCTGCTTCAGTGATCAGTGAGATGTTTACACGTTAAGCCTCCGCTGGCGCTCACAGTGCTTTGGGAGACGAATGGACAAACCTTTGCACAGAGAGAAGAGTGGATTTGTTGACGTGTACAATAATGGACTGGAGTTCTTTTTGCTCAAAGATGCACGAAGATGACTGCTGCCCTTTTGTAAAATGCTACGACACTTTTATTTATTTATTTTCTCGCCCTTCCCATCTGAAAATGTGGACATTCAGCCTGCACTCTAGGACGCTTTGTGCATTTTAGCACTAGAAAGCTGGTACGTTTTTACCGTTTATTTAGTTTTACATTGCAAAAGGTTTTTAGAGAGTAACGTACTATTTTTTCGTCTGTTCTCTGTTCACGCTCTGCTCAGCACTTGATTATTTATTCGTGTTTGAGGGACGTACATGACGATAAGATGTTCTTCATATCATGATTTTTACCGACTATTTTGGTGTTTATGCACAAGAGATATGAGTTCAGCAAATATGAACACCAAAAATATTTTGGCTCGACCACTAAATTGTTGCACAGACACTGAATCTAGAACCGGTCTGTCCACTGAAAAGAGCTCACGTCCAACAGTACTTCTTCACTGACTCTGGATCATTCTTTATAACGGTAATGTGTTTGTAAATAAACTTGTTTGGATTTTCTCACTTACGTCTAAGGATTAATTATCATTGTGTGTGTGCGTGCGTGTGTGTGTGTGTGTGGAACAGGAACAGACTTTCATTACATATTCAAATAATACATTTGCCACAAGTAAGAAGAGGCGTCACCATGTGACCCGATTGTCCCGCTCACCACCACCCGCGGTGCTTGTTGTGGCCGCACACAAGACACACAATACTATTTTAACAATCTCATTTTAACCTGGTTTGTCAACACCTCAATTATTAAGCAGCGGTGGGTGTCAGTGTCCTCGCGTTGACTGACTCAGCAAGCGATGGCTGGGAATACGGGCCGATCGCATCCGAGCAGTGCTTTGTTCTGTTGGGTTCCACTTCAATTCACACTTTAATTCACACTTTGATTCACACTCTGCAGGCGAGCACAAGAGAATCCAGTCAGAAATCCTCCAGGAAGGAGGGTAGAGATCATTCTAGTATTCCGGCTGGTGGCGAGGACACTTGAGAGCAGCCAAGCCTGTGAACCATCTCGCACTTTTCAAGTTAAGAGTAAATTGTGCATCTGCAGCGTGATTCAGATGCACACAAAGCGTTGAATGGGTTAAATGAGGTTTGGCTCCGTGCTGCCGTCCGTACGCTGGCTAATCCCACGTTGAAAGATCAATAGGACCAAAGACTGCCCTTCCCCTTGATGCCTATCAGGTGACGGGTGGCGGCAATAAGACTAATGGGGGGATTTGGCTCATCGGTGCGAACGTGTGATGGACCTGAAGGGAGAATTTTGCACGGATGAATTTTAATGTACGAAAACGTGTCTCCTGCGTTTCTTACACTGAACGTTTATGTACACTGTGGTCCATGTTAATGTAAAACTGTGCTGTTGATTTAATGGTTTAATTTAGTGTTTTATTAACACTTTTTTCCTACTAGAAATATATAAAATAATAAATAAATAAATAAATAAATCATCCAAATATTTCAAAATAATTTTCCCTGGATAAATGATGGGGAGGAAAACTGTCTTAAGTTGTAGATCAAATAATCAAGACCAGTGACCATTGAAGTTCTGATGAACTACAGTGACTCATTTCACATGAACAAAGTGAGGCTGCTTAAACAATATTTTGGTTGATAAAATACGAATGTAACATTTTAGAGTGCAACATCATTTTCAACATCGCTTCTTTAAATGAAGTGTTGGAATTGTTCCATTGGACAGCGTTATGCAGACGCAACAAGTTAGTGACTCTAGTAAATCTTAAGATACGCTCAATATGTTGCCTGTCATGCGTTTCATTTACTTAAATATGATTTATGAGCGCAGCCTCTCTTTCTATTACAGTGAATAAAGAGGGGTGTTTGTAACGCGCGAGGCAGAGAGAGTGTGTGTGTGTGTGTGTGTGTGTGTGTGTGTGTGTGTGTGTGTGTGTGTGTGTGTGTGCGTGTGTATGTGCACGCGGGTAAAAGCGAGACGCCCCCGGCTCGTAAAGCGATCCTGACACCATGAATAATGGAGGGTGCCGTGGCAAAGAGGATAAGTTCTCGCCGCAAGGCTCCTTTTTCACGGGGGCTTTCTCCCGCGGGGTCACGTGAGCGTCCAAGTGATGGTCTTTCTTTCTATGAGCGGTTGTAGTTGGAGGTAAAGCCGCATGCTGCCCAGGTAGGAGACGGTCTCCCGGTGGCCGATCCCACCTCCAGCCCGTTCGCGGTGGTCCGTGCACCATCCACGCTGCTCTGAAGCCCACCGCGACCTCTCTGCGGCCAGGGGTCAAATGAATTGTCTTACACCATCAGAAACTCAAGGCAGCGCTCGCGGGACCGCTGGGCCGGGGAAGTGGATGAATTAAAGATGCCGTCGAAACAGAAAAAATCCACGGCTGCTGAAGAAACCGAAGAGGTCGGTGACGAAGTGGAGGAGACGGAGCTAAAAATAAAGGAGAGCGGCGACGACGGCGACGGCGTGACCCACGGGGACGCCGCGAAAGGAGAGAAGAGTCGTGAGAAACACAAGTGCGCCGAGAGCTCCGAGGATCCGGAGGCCCCGGGGAGAGAGAAGAAGAAGAAGAAGACGAGAGAAAAGAAGAAGAAAAAGGCCCCAGATGATGCGGCTGTGATTGAAAATGAGGAGGAGGAAGGTGAGCAAAACAATAATGACCCCAAGAACAATTCAAAGAAGGAGAAATCAGGGAAGCTCAAAGAGGAAGTGACAGAGGTAGAGAAAGACAAACAGAAGAAGAAGAAGAAGAAGACACAATCCTCCACAGAGAATCCAGAGGGGGAAGAAGAGATGGGATCCAAGGACAAGAAGTCGAAAGACGGCAAAAAGAAGAAAAAGTCCGACGGCGATGAGGAGCCCTTGATTGAGGAGCAGGAGGAAGAGGAGGACTCCAAGAAAAAGAAGAAGAAGAAGGCGAAGAAGGGGTCGGCGGACAGCGACGAAGACAAGAAGAAAAAGGGGAAGAAATCCAAAAATAAACAGGTGGACTACGGCGTCATCTACCAGAACGAGCTGCTGAACTACAACACAGATTCATCAGACGGATACGAGGATGAGTACTACAAAAAGAAAGGTAAGGGTTGGACACTGCAGAGCAGACCGGGAAGCCCCCTACTACCCCCCCCCCCCATGTTGTATTTCAGGTAAGTCTCCGGTACTTGACTCACATATTCACCAGTTGGAGCTTTCCAACCGGTCAAGTCTTGAATACAGTTTTTCCTCCAGTTCCCTCCGGCCGGGGGAGCCGGAGCCTCCGGGGGGGGAATCACGTTCTCCGATTGTTCCCCGGTGAAAAGCTCAGTTATGTTCCGCACGACTGGAGCCAAACAGAAGCTCGACAAGGCGCCCGAGACAAGTGCTGGGAGCCGTCCCAGTCTCCGGGGCTGGGAGGACCTGCCGGGGGGGGGGCCAGAGGCCGGGAGCTTTCTCAGCAGAGCACGTCACTGTTTTTCAAACGAGGGAGCAAAGGGTGGGAGGGGACCAAATCCAGCATGGCGCCGCCAAATAGTTCCAAAAGGAAGAGACGTAAAAACCCCAACGAATGCAAATCTTCACTCGCTTAGGTGACCAAATTGAGAAGAAGATAAAATACTTTGCTGGTAAATTATGATCCGAATAAATATATTTACATTCGAAGTATATTAAAGCAACTTCTTATGACAGAGAATTACCACAAAGAAGCTTTATTCAAATTGCACATGAAAAAGCCTGAAGTCAAAAGCTTCTTTTGGCTTTTCAGCGCATCGCGCAGACAGAGTGAG